TTAGTATCATTGACTGGTGTACCTTGAACTGTCATTGTACAGATTTGCCATACCATGAAGCTTCAACATACTGGAACCCCTGAAGAGACTTATTGTTATGGTCATTTTTACCTATTTTTTAAACTTATAGCCATGAACGTACTAAAAAAGTCAGACAGAGTCTCCCATTACGCGGCGAAAACATAAATATACAACATGTTTTGCGTAGGGAAATGCTGTAAAAACCGTACTGACCGAAAGAAAAATAATCCAGGAAGCACGTTTTATAGATAAATGAATAATTCAATCACTTATTTCCAGATTTTATACATTAAAATTGATCTTCAGTCACTAGAACAAAAGGTTTAATTATAAACCCAGTGTTTCGGGTAATTTACACGTGTGCAAATTACCCGAAACAAAGGAAAGTATAAGTTTGTTTATGAAATCAATTTATTCAGGTTATTTATTTAATAGTTACTACTAGGTATACTATTTTATATTCTTTTTTTTGGTCGATTCGAGTCCGACATAACCACCGGTGAGTGGTATCTGAGGGGATTTCTGCACAGAAAAAGAAAAAACGAAAAAGCTATACTATTTCATATTCTTTTACTAAATTTTCTAAGGCAAATGGAGTATGGAAAAATGATTGGATTCAAACATGTAATGGTGATAATAAAGACAACACAAATATATTCTCACAAAAATTCTAGAAAAGTTTGTATGCAATGAAAGCATTTTTTAAACTTCTGAACATATTTTTTTGTGTTCTATTTCGTCGGATTACAACACAAAATAAGTCTTATGATTTAATAAGACTTATTTTGTGTTCTATTCCATTCTATTCCATTTTATTTTCAGTTTCACCACATCTCGAAATTCGAGGAAATTTCAAGAACCTCTCAAGGTAAAAGACATTATTATAAAATAAAGTGACAGCATTTGGGACATCAAACAGTAAAATTTCGAACGAATAAAATATTTTTAATTATTGACTGTGTTTTAGGGCATAAATTTGGGTAACTTGGCAACCCTTAAATTTATTTACACACAAAGAGCTGTCGCTATTACGGTGCCTCAGTTGTGCGTTCAATCCCCGCATGGAACAATTTTTGTGTGATCCACAAATTGTTGTACCAAGTCTGGGTGCTCTTTGTGTACGTATGTTTGTAAAGTCCCCTGCGACACAGGATATATTTCTAATCCGGGAGTTGTTATTTTAAAGTTCCGTACAAATTTGTAGGTACATAATATTAATCGTTCAGGAAGGAGACTTGAGTCTCGCAGTTTTTTCTGATTTTAGCCCGGAATTCAGTTTCCAAAACCTATAATTACTTACGAGTATATTATTGTTTTTTTTGTGAAACTAGCAATCCGCCCCGGCTTCGCACGGGTGCAATGACGATACTACTAATGAGGTGTCAGTGTGGAGTAATTAATTATACTACATATTATTATGATAGGACCATACTACATACATCATCTTTAAATGCAATATTTATGGGCCCGCTTCGATCCTGCCGGCCGCTACTACCCGGGACGGACGCACGGCTCGACGGTCGTTGGGCCCCCGCATTTTAACATTAAATGCACAACGTATCTAATTTATTTAATTGGATAAGGAATAATAATGTATTGTTTAAAGTAGCTTCGTAAATAAGCCATTATTTTTTTGGAATATTTAATAGATAAAAATGGTCACTGTGGGTTATCCTTAGGAGATAGACACATACAATCGCGGACTTTGATTTCCTTGAGTGTCGACATATGTGTTGTTTGCGGCATTAACTGTCGTATCTTTGTTTACGTTAATTTAGAATTAGATTTTATCACAGCTTTAAGGGACTATAGACCCCAGTATATGGTTTTACTTTCAACTTATTACCTCCACGCTTTACCAAGATAATGGGTCTTGACAGATAGACAGACGGACAATAAAATGATCTTATTAGGGTTCCATTTTTGCCTTTTGAGGTATGAACCCTAAAGTGTTCATACCTCAAGTGTGTTTATACAAAAAAAGAAACAAAAAACTTTTTAGCTTTATTATATTAGAATAAATACTATTTTCTTGGCTAGATATAGATTAAAATTTCTATGAACTATGTCAAATTTAATATTTTAATTCTGCAACTGCCATTTCTATATCACCTGAAAGTTGACTCTGAAAGAATGGCACAAAGTCTGCCTTGGTACAACATGTGCAAATAAAAGTTCAAGCATTCTACCCTTTATTTACAAATTTCACACTTATGTATGGTAAAAAAAAGTCCCCTACACACCAGCAGTACACCAAGCCAAACTTTTGACTGGCCAGACTCACAGTTGGGGACTTAAGTAACTAGCTAACTGTTACTGCTAAGTGTGTCTCCGAAATGTACAAAACTTCTTTTTAGCTATTAATAAAGATATATTTTACTATGTACAAAATTTCTTATTATTTTCAAATATAAATGAAAGAAACTGGACTAGCTAGCTATATGGGTTATAATTTAATTAGGGATTATGGCCAACATAATATGTTAACTCTTCTGTTTGGATAAATTATTACCACATCATTGGTATATTATTGCAGTAAGTGGATGGCCTATTTATTGAGCTTCTCCTTTCATTCCAAGAAAATATTGTACATAATGCTGAGTTACAAATCATAGAATTTCAGTTGTCTATAGTTTAACAGGTAAATGTTAAAATTATAATGATGAAATGTTTACTGACTTTTAAAGGGTGAAATAAAGCTATTACTTGCATAGTTAGAATTAATAAAATTACTTGCATATTTTTTTATGTTAGAAGGTTGCAGACCAGCAAACGGGTCACCTGATGGAAAGAGACCATCGCCGCCCATGAACGTCTGCAACTCAGAAGTCACAAACGAGTTGCCGGCCTTACTCGTTATAATTATAATTATGTTTATTTAATATTATAAATTGGATTTATCTATTTTGTTTACAAGTGTTAATAGAGGATGAGTCCTAGTATAGATTATATTTATAAAATTTGTCTTTTGAAGAAGTTGTGTTTCTAAAATTTTTTATGCTGACTAAACTCTGATAGTGCATTTAAATATAAATGAGATTAAGGAAAGCATTCTTTAAATTTTACTTCAGTACAATGTAGCTTTGGAGCCTTGTATACAAAACACACTTTAGAAAAGTTTTTATTTAGCGATATATTTTTGTAAATATAAGATAACTATTCATTCATTTAAACATATGTGGAGGTGACTGTGTAATTAAAACAAACAAGGCTCAAAGTATAAAATCGAGAGCAGCCTTACCTGAAACTTCTCGAATTGTTCACGTTCGGCGTCCAAGCTGTTCTTCTTTAACTGCAGGACTCGCGGCAATGATAATGACGCCATGAATTATACACATACGAGCACTTTTACGAAAAATAATAACTTGTGTAGGTAATACCAAGTTAGAACAAATACGACACGATTTAATTTTTAAAGAGGGCGGACTATGGTTTACACCTTACACTGTGATAACAACAATATTCGTATATATGTTCTAAATAGTAATAAAATTTAGATCTTAATATATCAAAGTTATCACAAAATATCTCGTAAATAATTTTTCTAAAATTCACAACACCACACACGACCACTTAAACACCCACAAAATTGAGTGAATGAAATTAAATCGAATGAAGGAACATAGCCACATAGATTATTACTGAAGTTAAGAACGACAAGTTGACATTACCTCTACGTTTATAAGAAGAGTTGTATTCTTTTCATGAAATAAAACGTCACAATTTTTTTTAAAAGATTTATTTAAAAAACTGTGCGTCACCTGATGGAAAGATACTAAAGCCGCCCATGAATGTCTGTAACTCAGGAGTCACAAACGCGTTGCCGGCCTTATTTATTTTACACACAATAGATGTCATTGTTTAATTTATACACAATAGATGTCATTGTTCAAACTTCGTTTCAAAGTGACCTAGTTAGGTCCTTTATCGTAGTGTTGCGGCTCTTCAAATTCACTTGAATACTGATTATTGATTACTTGATTAATCGTTAAAATGTATGAAAAATCGAATTTAGTTTTACGGAATATTTTCAATCTAGGCGTCTTAAAGTGTTTAATTATACTTAAAAACGAAAACGCATAATTAAAATTAAAATATATAATTATTAAAATATATAATTATATATATAATTATATATATAATTATATATATAATTATATATATAATTATATATATAATTATATATAATTATAAAACATTTTTTTAATTTATGGACGATAATACAGATAATTGTAATTTGTTATTTTCTTACAAATTTTTGATATTCAAGGCAGTGCTGTAACTAGAGTGGGGGCTATCGGTGCCTAGAATAGAATATAAGTATAGAGAGAACAAGAGCCCCAATTTAGCAATATAGACAACGAGAGAGATAGATAATTGATAGATGCCTCTATATGTTTCTAGTCAAGGTCTGTTATTAGCTAGGGAATATGAGGGGTTAATATCTATCTTTCACCTATCTCTCTCGATGCCTGTATCGCTCTCACTTACAGCCAGTTGTACCCTATGTTCTCCCTATGCTTATATCTCTGTACCATCTAGTCACTGGATCAAGGTCCTGGAGAAGCGCAGACCTAATAAAACAAGCATAGAACGGTGTACAAGGCTCCTTTGAAAATGGCTAGTCTTGCGCAATACATCACGAGCATAGCGAAGTCATCGATGACGCGAGCTCATAAGTTTTTGCTTGTTAAAAGTCACTCAACGCAGCTAAGGAAGTTGTGAAAGCAACTTGATATAGTTACATATTTTTAAATGGTAACATTATCACAAATTCATTTGTCTTCTATTAGTCTATTCCACAAATTACGAGATATGTCTATTCGTTCCCTTGAAAACAAATGTCAAAGTTGTTTCTTTTATGCCGCTGGTTGCCGAATATTACGTTTGGCGCGTGGAAGTTACAAAGCACATTTTGGCTGCTACGATTAAAATAATTATTTTATAATTGCCATTTACATCCTATTAAAATCTACAGAATGGAGTTTCTTGAATACAATGATGTACAGGCTGAAATTAAAGGAGCAATGGTATGGTTTCAACAATCACTTGTTTTTTAATTCTTTTGTATATACTAATAAGATAAAATTAATTGATATTGCAGGTTCCTGGCAGGCTAAAGATGACGGACCAAAACATAGTATTCAAAAATAGCAAAACAGGAAAGGTGGAACAACTACTGGCTAGTGAAATTGACTTAGTAAATTTTCAGAAATTTATTGGCTCATGGGGATTGAGAATCTTTCTGAAAAATGGTACTCTCCACAGATATGGAGGTTTTAAAGAAGGAGTGAGTTTTACGTTCCTGTTATGCTAATAGTATTGATAAGAAAGTCTTGTGAATGTTACCAAGCAGTCTATGTGTAGCATTCTTATGGCATGTAAACACTACTTAGTGATTAGCACTATTACTAAGGAATTTCTGTAAAGATTAAGTCTATAGCACTCAGAGATAATATACCTTTTCAATAGTGAAAGAATTTACAAAATCGGATTAGTAGAACAAGAGATTACCCCAAACATATGAACTCACAAACTTTACCTCTTTATAATGTATAGATGTAGTTTAATTATAAAATTAAGTTTTTAAATTTACTTTGTAATGCTTATATATAGTTTGTCTTATTTCTCTATACTATACTCTATTTCTTTGTCAAATAAAGTAAACATATTTTCACAATATTATGCAATTATTAGATGTCTCATAAATTCCAAGTTTTAAATTCTTGGAATTTTGTATAAACGGGTTCCTGATGAAGAAAAGTAGCTCCATACACTTGAACTGCTAATTAAAATTGCTTACTTGGATTAGAAGCTGCACTGTAATAAATGCAATGTAATAATCAAAAGAAAATCAGCATGAAACTAAGTTGTGTACAAATTTTATACTTCCATGACATAATAAGTCCATTATCGTATAAATAAATAGAAAAGACCAAATTCTGTATAACCTGATCATGCTTCCAGGGCCTAGTGTGATTTTATTTTGGAACTCTGTTGTGACTGTGACAATAAGAGTTCTCGAGTTACATTATCAGTAAGTAACGTAGCTAGGCAAAGCCACGGACAAAAGCTAGTTTAATATAAATCAATGATTTATCATTAGATTTTCTTCTATGTAGGTTAGAGTCACTACTTACTCATGCGTTGTTGCCAATAAGCAGTTTTCAACAGTAAATCTAGTAATTATTTTATTATATATACCTGCCATTCCCTGCATAATAATTAAAAAATACTAGATTTACTGTTAAATAGCGTCTAACCTACCTACCTAGCAACCCTAACCTAACTAACCTATGCAAAAATCGAATGATAAATCACAGTTCACTGTGATTTTGTGCCCTGTCAAATACATGCTTGCAAAATAGCTTGCTGAAAAAAGAATACATGCATATAATTTTTACAGGAGCAAGAAAAAGTTGCCAAGTTCTTTAAGGCAAATTACAATAAGGATATGTTAGAAAAAGAGCTTTCCCTCAAAGGCTGGAACTGGGGTACTGCAAAGTTTAATGGAGCTGTACTGAGCTTCAATATTGGAACCAACACTGCGTTTGAGATCCCTCTACATTATGTTTCCCAGTGCAACACTGGCAAGAATGAAGTCACACTTGAATTCCATCAGGTACTTTTAGCATAGCCTATCTAACAAAGCTTCTATCTTATTTTTTACATAATATTGTAACATTAATATTAATGTGAGAGAGCCATGCTAAGGCACATATAGACTGCCTTGAATGGAGTGGTACTACAGCCCCAGAAAAAACCATGTTCTTTGTTTAGAATAACTCAGTGAGATGATTAGAAGGCCCAAAAAATTTATTTTACCACTTTACTTTCGATTTTATACTATTACTGTGTAAATCACATGGCCTATACTTTCAACCTTTTTAGCATTAGGTATGCATTATTATACTCTTCATTCATTATTTTGCATATAAAACAATGTTAACATTTTTCCTACATAAGTAAATGATCTGATACTTTTTTTCTCCAGAATGATGACACTCCAGTCTCTTTAATGGAGATGCGTTTCCATATCCCAACTAATGAATTAGCTGGAGATATGGACGCTGTAGAAGCATTCCACCAGCAAGTCATGACTAAAGCCAGTGTCATATCAGTATCTGGAGACGCCATCGCCATCTTTAGAGAATTGCAGTGTCTTACTCCTCGGTATGTTGTAGTTACCGGTTGTTTTAGTAAAGTAAATATAAGTAAAACTTCATAATTATATCAGTTGTAATTTAATAAAACTTTGCTCCTGTACAGTGGTCGCTATGACATCAAAGTATTCCAAACATTCTTTCAACTTCACGGAAAAACGTTTGATTACAAGATTCCCATCTCGACCGTTCTCCGTCTGTTCCTGTTGCCTCATAAGGACACGAGACAAATGTTCTTCGTGGTATCGTTAGACCCACCCATCAAACAGGGTCAAACGAGATATCATTATCTTGTACTGTTATTTGGCATTGAAGAAGAAACTAGCTTGGAGTTACCATTCACAGAGTAAGTTCTTATTTTTCTACGTATATTAGTTAGGGCATTAAATTTATGATGGACTCACATTTGGATTCGTAACTGTGTTCTCCTGAAAACAGTATAGCCAAGGAGATTTATTGTATAATTTTAGGAAACATAACGTCTATGGGGGCTGCCCCATCAATTCTTTATGAGTATTAGTAGAGTATTTGAATGCCAAAATTAAAACGCAAAAACATACAACATCAGCGCACTATCAACATCGTCAGGCTTTACTAGTCCACTGCTGGACTTAGCCGACTTAGCCTACTACTACTAACAATCCATATTTATATTATAATTGTAAGCGAGTTATGGTTTAAGATCTTTATTTCCTCATAAGAATTACAATGATTCAGATAATTCAGTAAGTACTGAGAAACAATATTCACAAGATAAACTTAAAGAATGTCAGAAACAAAATTAATTATTACTAACTCAAGAGTGAAAACAAAAGTACTCGTATGTTACATGAAAGATAACAATTCCATTAAAAGCTACAAAGTCAGTATACTGCAAAATAGTTCTATCGAACGCTCGAATGATGTCGACAGTACACGGACGTAACAACTACACCGCTACTGGATAAGGCTACACACAATTTATGAACATATATCAAGTTTTGGTTTATATTTTTACAAGTTAACCACATACATTATGTAGTATTTATTATTATATAGTGTTTATAATTATGAATTATGTATTTATTGTTTTTTTTTTATTATTACTTATTTTTAAGCAATTATTAGCTACGTATCAGTAACAGAAAGTAACTAGAGAAGACTGTACCCGTTTGTGGATGAAAAACACGCACAGAGGTATAATGTACCTTCTTGCGTATTCCAATTTTTATCTTCAGCCCTTCCTTAAACCTGTTAATATTAAAAAATGTTAAAACATATGTTTTAACATTTTTTAATATTAACAGATGCAAAAGTGTTTAGTTATTACTCTAAAATTTGTTGTGTTTCAGGGAAGAATTAAAAGAAAAATATGAAGACAAAATAACAAAAGAGCTTTCGGGTCCAACTTATGAAGTGTTAGCTAAAATTATGAAAGTCATTATCAACAGGAGGGTGACAGGCCCTGGAGATTTCTTGGGGTATGTTATTTTAATTTTAATTTGAAGTATTAGAACATTCAATGTTATAAATATAAACTAGCTTGTTGTAAGTAATAGGGGCTAGCACAAACTAACCAGCTACCGAAACCAACTGAAAACTGAACTAAAGGCTTTGATTAAAAGAATGTGATAAATATGTATGTTGAAGATTAAAGTGTATTCCTTAAATTATAATTATGTGCATTTTAGTAACAACTGAAGCGCTAATATTGATAAGGAACATAATCTATGAAGCTCCAACATTGTAGATTCAGATTGAGTCTACAATACTGTAGTTCTAGCTGCCTACCTGCTTTTTCCTGAAGCGCTTCGTCGTTTTTTTTTTGAACCCACATAACTGGCGTGTGGATTATACCAGATGAAGAAAATTTTCGGGATTTAATATCAGTAGTGAACTTATGAAACACATAAATTTTCATTATAAACATATTAATTCATCAAAATTCTTAGAGTACTTCCTGAAGTCCTAGAAAGCTGAAATTTAGTATAGTACTACTAGTACATCTATACAACAAAAAAAAACTTGGAACTTTAACCCCACTACGAAAATATTTACTAAACTTTAATAAAGTGCCATAATTTACGAAAAATAAAATCTAACTTTTTTTTTTGTATAATATACGTATTTTTTTCATATTATTCGGTAAGTGCACATAATGTATGATATGAATGTATATAGGCCCCTTTACATTTTTCAGATTTAAAATAAAGATTTAAAATATCAATGTAAACATGTTTCAGTCACCACAAGACACCAGCCATAGCCTGTTCATACAAGGCAGCGGCAGGTTACTTATATCCACTAGAAAAAGGTTTCATCTACGTTCATAAGCCTCCAGTACACATTCGGTTCGAAGAAATTGCGTCTGTCAACTTTGCTCGTGGAGGTGCCTCATCCACCAAGTAAGTGTCTGTCACATCATCATGATCAACCGCCTTTAATAGTCCACTGCTGGACATAGGTGTCTCCTTAGAAAGGAGGTTTTGGCCTACTGTACCACATTGGCCAGATGGGTTGGTATAGGGTTTGTTTCAAGTTTTCCTTCTTTTTGTAGTGAGTTTTCCCTTAGTCGGCCTTTAGGACACCCATGGGTAAAATAGAGGTGGTGACACTCTGTATTCTTAATCTGTCACCACTTACAATATACTTACACATTTTACAAACATTCCAGATAAAAACATAAATTCAAACATTTGCCCAATCCCCTTTTTTTCCAGACAAAAAAAAAAATCCTTCTACCCCATCCAGTATAAGGATTTCAATTCCTACAGGAGATTAAAATTTATGTGACCCATTAATACTTGTCAATCTGTACATATTTGAAATGTATGAAATTATCAAGCGAAGCAGTAATTAGTGTGCAAATGAATATATATAATATGTAATTCAATCATTGGCCTCAAATAATATTATTTTGATATCTTCACCAGGATTCAACGAATTTCAAGTATTTTTTTTCCCATTTCTATTTTTTCTAATAGGATTGTTTCTAAAATAACCATGACGGATTCACGAAGATTCATTATTGTAATTATCATTATCTCCTAATTTTGTTGTATTACTATTGATATCATTACTACATTGAACAGATCGTTTGACTTCGAAATAGCGCTCAAATCTGGCAGTGTTCACACCTTTAGCAGTATCGAAAAGGGCGAGTATGACAAACTCTTCGATTACATAACTTCAAAGAAACTGCATGTCAAGAACACTGGCAAGAATGTAAGTTTACATATTTTCTTAAACTCACAAAATGTATCTAAATTTAACTTAATTGTGAGATTTTTTTTTTATTTTACCTACTTTATCCCTGAGACTATACAGATAAAAAAAAACAATATTCTAATTTTAAATTATTTTATATTGTTTAAAATTGATTCTTATGTTTGTTATTGCATCTTCTTTCGCCTTGACATCACAACTAGAGCGAAACTTATTCACAGGACAAAGCTCTATATGATGATGACTTTGGCGACTCAGACACTGAGAAGGAGCCAGACGCGTATCTGGAGAGAGTGAAAGCAGAGGCTAAAGAGCGAGACTCTAATGATTCTAATGACTCAGACGAGAGCACCGATGAGGACTTCAACCCCGACAAAGCAAAGGAGAGCGATGTCGCTGAAGAGTTAGTATTTATACATATTTTTTTAACATGTAAGAGGTTCAAACAATCGACCTATTACAGACATTCATACTCTGTAGATGATACGTGAAATTCCTTCAATTATACAGTTTTATTATAGTAATAAGAACACTTTATTCTCGAGTGGAGGGAGTCTGGACTAAACGTAAAACGATCAATTATGTTCGATCACAATGAATTTTCGTAAGTGTTTGAACAACATAATGTTTAAATAAAAAGGTATTTGTTTTCTCCGTATATTTGTAGTATTGTATATAGATAGTTCTTTGATCTTGGAAATCGATTCTCTAAGATTTTTGCGCTGTTTTTTAACATTTAAACAATGACAACAAAGAAAATATGATAAAAGAAGAACAAAGACTTTCGAATTTTTTATTCTTCTTCGCCTCAACTTGAACACATTGTTAATATGACTTGGACTAAGTGACTATTTCCATTCTTAAATTAAAATTTTGTAGTGTACTGTTAGTATACTGTAATACTTGATAAAAGTACCGACATAAAGGCGGTACTTCTCATATTTAGAAATACTTAAAGTACTAAAATGCACAACTGATGTACCACTTTTCGCTGTCCATTCTTCTGGTTCAAATGTAAGGGAACCCTTACTAACGAAGTAATAAATAAATTACTGGTATCAATGACTTGGCACCTATAAATGGCATTAGAGTAAGCTAAAATGTGTTCATATTACTTCAGTATGATCAGGCTAAAAAAGTTGTCTTCCATTGCTTGGTTGTTTTTCTTTGTTCGGCACATCTACTATTGGAGTAAAAGTCTATAATAAGTATCTTGCTATTAGCAGTACTCCCATTCCCACAAATAAATATAAAATACTGCTGTACTACTACATACTGACTGCTGTATAGGTATGACACCAATCCTTCATCATCGGAAGAGTCCGACGCTTCAGCTGCTTCTAACGATAGCAAAAAAGAGAAGAAGAAAGAGAAGAAACACAAAAAAGCTATTACTATTGTGAGTACATAATCTAGTTTTATTTTTATAATCTGAATAATTTATGTTACATTAAATATGTAAAATGTTCTTCATATTGTAATTTAACTGTTTTTAACCGATTACCAAAAACATGGAGAAATTCGACTGTATGCTTTTTTAATGTTTGTTATCTCAAACTCCGTAATTTATGAAGTGATTTAGAAAAGCCTATTTTTATTTGAAAGGGAATACTTATCGTTCGGTCACATTTAAATTAAGAATATAATTTATCCCCTAAGGGTGAAAATTAAGAATGAGGAATAGTTTACTACAATTCATCATGATGTAGAGGCAATGAAGTCGCCTCTTTTTTAAAGTTATCGATTAAATTCCATTATCAATATTTCCTAAACCGATTAAAAAGATGACACTATTAAAGTCAATACTGAAATTATTAATAATCGTCCTTTATAAATTACTAACTTTTGTCCGCCCGCGTGTTTGTCCGTTATCGCGGTAAAAAGTAACCTAAGTTACTCGCTGATACTGCAGCTTTCCATTGTTGAAATTATTTTTAAAATCGGTTTAGTCGTTTAGGCGTAAAAGCGTAACAAACAAACTAACTCACTTTTACATTTATAATATAGGCAATGGATAAGGAATACTAGGTTATAATTGTAATTATTAATATATAATTATTTTGGTTTCTAGCCCGAATCGGCGCCAAGGAAACGTAAAGAAAAATCGAAGAAACGTGAAAAGGATGCCAACGCTCCTAAACGCCCCTCCACCGCCTTCATGTTGTGGCTCAACGAGAACCGCAAGAGTATCATCGACGAGAACCCTGGTATCAAGGTCACCGAGATCGCCAAGAAGGGCGGCGAGCTGTGGCGGGACCTCAAGGATAAATCTGTACGCAATTTTTTATTTTTACTTACATAGAGATAAAATCACGTATTTATTTTTAAGATTGTCAAGTCAAATCAATATTTTGTTTTTAAAGGTCAAAACGATAGACGCGGTACATATTTGCGTAAATAAATACTATGGTGTGACGTCACACCCAACTATTGTCAAATCATTAATATTTAATGTTGATGTGAAGATATTAAACTTAAACATTAAGTTGATAATCGAGGACAATACAGGATGTACTTTAAGATGTTGCATTTAATGATGCAAGCGAATTTTTTTTTTCTACCCTATTAACCTCTTGCATTTTTTTCATTTAATTTGTTTCCTTACTTAGTAAACATACTTCCACCATTTAGAACAGAGTTCACAATAATTAAAATCGATTCAATCGAAGAAACACTATTAAGTCTTCATAACAATGTCTCATTTTACTTTAAAGGAATGGGAAGAAAAGGCGGCTAAGGCGAAGGAAGAATACAATCAAGCGATGAAGAAATATAAAGACAGCGGCGCCGCTGATGAATTCAAACAGAAGAAGAAGCAGGCAGAGAAAGAACGTAAAGCGGCCGACAAGAAGACTAAAGCTCCACCTAGCAAGAAGGCCAAGCCTAACACAAGCGGTACGGGCACTAGCGGTAAATTCACCAGCAAGGAGTATATTGAGGATGATGACAGCTCTTCTGATTCTGATAACGAGAAGCCTAAGAAGAAGGAGACCAAAGACGTAAGTGACATTTAGTTGCATTTTTTACTGTTGTTGTTTTCCTAGATGAAACTGATATTTCTTGACTTCGTTGACTTAAGAGCCTTTTAAATTTGTTGCATAGATAGGTTTCGAATACCACAGCACTTCCACTCGTCATAATACATCTAATAATTAAATACTAACCAAGAAAACTACGCTCAGCCTTTTATTTTTAAATTTTCGGGCAATATACCTATATTTAAATCGAAATTGTTTTCGAGTTATAGACAAAATACATACGACAAAAAACTTATTTTTCCGTGACAGCTTTTTTTAACAAGCTATACAAATTGTGTAATTCATTATATATAGAAAAATGCACGATTAACAATAATAATATATTTATCGGGGCAAAATCAACATGGAAAACCTGCAAACAAAGTAGAAAAAACATGGTACCATATATTATGTGTTGGGTCACACAAGTGATCCTAATAGTAAAACCGGATTTCGTTATCTTGGCACAATTAACGCTAATATTATTCACATGAAATGCCGTTTGACGATATTTAACTGGTATTGAGGTTGATTTCAATTTCTATTCTTATCGTGTGACCTTCTTTTACGAACCATCTCAGATTCAAACAGACTAAAACCACGCGATGTTCAAGAGGACACGTACAGTATCTTGTGAATGTGACGACCATCACGCGCTGAAGTTGTTACAGTGTAGCAATTTTGCAAGGCGTTACGGTCTCCGTGTAGGGGAGCAGGGCAAATAAAGAAATTATTACTTTTGAACAGAAAAAGCTTTTACAAACTGTTTTAAAATAGTTTATTACGTATATTGAATACATCAAATAAATATAATAGTTATTACTGTAACGTACTTATGCGGTCCATTAATGTATAAAAATAAAGGTATAAAGTGCACAGGAATAGATCATTATCTTAGATAGATAGGTACTCTTTATTGCACACTACACTTACAAAAAAACAGTGATACAATCGGCGTTCTTATTGCAGTCTGCGATCTCTTCCAGGGAACCTTTAGATGTACTAAACCATATAGCAATATGTAGCGAGTGGTGCACTTACATTATTTACAATTACATTATTTACAATTTCCAAATAGTATCTTAAGTATATAATCGTAAGTAGGCAATAAAAAGAAATGAGACAAATATCTATTGGAACTTTAAGAATCTGCGATATTTATTTTTAACGAGATACAGTTGAGTTACAAAATTCTTCCTTTTTGGATATTATTATCAGCATCTTTTACAAGGCTATATTTTTTTTAATTAAATCAAGTAATCAGTGTAGTGTCAATCTTTTTATTAAAAATTTGTGGCATCTTCAATGAAATAAATTTGATGCCTGAAGAATAGTTAATCGATATTTTTTTTTCTTATAAACAACTTTTTAAATATAATATTTGATGTTTTTTAGACTAAAGAACAGAAGAAAGAGAAAGCAAAGAGTTCATCATCAGAAGCGGAGGCGTCGTCAGGGTCAGGCGACGAGAGCGGTAGCGGGAGCGGCAGCGACTAATATTAACTGATGTTATTATATTTGGGTTGAACTCTCAAGAACCGATGAATATTGCTTTTAATTATTAACCATTACACAAAAAAAGTATTATGAGTATAGAGAATTGCTGTCATAATTCTTACTCTTTTCTTACTGGCGCTGGCGCACTTTTGTAAATAACATATTGCATCATAAATATTCATTCAAATATTCTTTTGCAATTTTTATTATTTTAAACAGTGTCCACAACAATAACTTTTATCATGATTTCTTGAAGTACTTAGTCGCGAACTTTGTGTTTCTAAAACATATTAAGTAATGGTATTGCATTAACATTATCTTTGTCGGTGGATAATACAAAACGCTCTAGAAATTAAAAAACTACATTCACTTAACACAGAATAAAATTGTTGGTCTAAAAACATAACTGAATCGGTCATTTCAAAAACCTCTTAAGACATTTTTTTTAAACATGTTTTTAATAAACTGTGAAGGTTATTCGATATTTAATTTTTTACCAATGCAATTAAATAAGCAATTATAAGCATTAGAATAGTCCTTTTAAACTCGTTTTGCATGAAACAGGTTTGATTCCTGAAAAACTATGATTGTGTGACTTTGAGGTTTTTGCAATGACCGATTCAACTGTTATAAGTACTGTAAAAGATACATCCAGGTTATTACGCTTCGAGAATACACTTTACCCACCGTTACTCTAAATCACGTTTTGGTGAAACTTAAATATATGGCTGACAAATAAAAGAGGAAAAATATAAAAGTGTATTTTCGATGAAGGTAAAGATAGCAGCAATCGCGTATGTTCAAAATTAAATTGAGGAACTGAATCTTGTTCGATACTTGACTGATACATGACTTTGTAAAAATAAATATTCATTATTTTCCGCTCGCTGCTACCTTGATGGCATTTTATATATATGAAAATATGTGTTTTGTTTAAAAGTTTCTGTTTAGAAAGTAATAATAAGAATCGACAATGTGTTTCTGTTTATAGTCTAAAATAATGTAAATATATTTGTTAAGTTACAATGTAATTCCATTAGAATTCGTAATATTATTAACGACATAGATGCCCCAATTTCATAGTATAATGTTAGTGTACTTTATTATAAGATTGTTCTTAAGCGTTGTTTTCTTTATAACACCCTAATAATCGTAATTAAATAGTATCAGACTTGGTTTACTTACTAGTATAAATACTTACCTGCCAATAGTATATGAAAAAATAGTATTCTGCAGTGAGGATAGCAGTCACTGGTAAAAACAAAATGGCCGTAAAAAGTTTGCATTTACTTGTGCATACGATGTCTAGGTATTGCCCATTGGCGGGTGATCAATATTGAACTGAAACTGCTCCAACGCTGTCAGTAAACAATCCATCCAATCAATCCTATTCAATAGAGCAGATGGATTGTTTACTGGATTCAGATGGATTGTTTGTTGGACTGTTAAGTCCATCAGTGCATGGTTGCTGTTTGCTCTACAGAACATGCTTGGAGGCAGAGTCCAAGCATGTTCTGTACAGTGTGCAGTCCGGACCACCGCTAGCAATAAGCTCATTCTAGGTTAACCCCTTCGGTCCCAGCGTCCATTTCAATGGACACGATTTATTATTGCATGTAATATGAAACAGGGTAATAAAAATATTAGTGTAAATATTTAACTGTACCGGCGACTTATCTAGGAACGTTACAGTAAACAAAACACAATCGGATTTGTTGTGGGTAGGACGAAATAATTAGTCAAGTGTTGACGTTTGCCATGGGTACACACAAAGCAAGTCTTCAAGTTTTTTTTTAACTATGTAACGACGTGATTGTTTGTTTAGATATTTCTTATTCTGTATAGTAAATGTATTTATTTACAAACAAATACAAATTATTTGGTAGTTGTAATCAACCATTTGAGTGGACATAGGGTCCCAATAGTTGTCGAACGTTCGTATTTACAATAAGATCATTTTAATTTATTTTTAGGTTTTGATCTATCCAAACGCCAAGATGTGAATAATTTACTCAATTTATTAGAAAACGGAACAATATCGGACCTTGACGAAGAAAGTGACGATGAAATTGTACAGGCAATACCAGAAAAAATTGTTCGAGTGGATAGTAATATAACACAACCAAATGAAAGAGTAATAGTTGATCACTCTGAAGGAAGGAAGGAGGAATATATAGAGGAGAAAGAACCAAGAACCGGATCAAGTAATAAGCCTAAAAATGACATAATTTGGAGAAAACATTTACAGCTTGAACCACCACAATTCATTTGGTCAGCTCCACCACCTTCTGAAATAGATTCACCTCTCGCTCAAATCGATTACTTTTATAAATATATAACCGAGTCCCTAATTGAAAATTTTTCTTTCAATATTTTTAAAGAATATGGCCAGAGATAGATTTCTTCAGATGAGAAACAATTTACAATAACAATTTGTGCATTTCAATAGTGGAAGTGAGCGCTGACGCATCGAAAGGAGTAGTCCCGAAACCTACTCCTGGGTCGCAATTTCTAGGCGCTGTCGAAGTCGCATGTGTTGCATCTATCTATAATCGTTCATGCGATGGACCCAGCACCAATCCATGGAACGTTAAGAAATAGGTCTAGGACTTATCTTTTAATATGATATTAGTTTTGGAAGGGCTATTGCACTTGGGGGTGGGGGGGGGGGGGGGCGTTCTCACGAGGCTTCTTTTAATGCAATGCCTAAATTACTAATTAATTTGATCACATTTACGCTCGTAGTATGTTTGTTTCGAGTCTCCCAAGAATCCCCACGTTAAGTGCGACTGTGAGGCCATTATAACTATCTTTAAAGACCGCGACCCTTCGATTGACGGAATATAAAATTTGTCAGGCTTTAATACCTATAGGCTACTATTAATTACGGGCCTTTTTTTGTCGATGGGATGGAAATCGCTATTAGATCTCCAGCACCTTGTAGACGTAGGAATTAAAAGTATGTGGTGTTTCCTCTACGACGACGTCGACGTCCGCCCTCAGGCGCTTAACTCTGAGAGGACCAGAACCGTGTGATTCCAGGGCTTTCCCGGATCAATGCCGCACCTACCTACGTAATATCCATTCCCGCCTTTTGCCCCAATCACTACCAATGTGTAGTGGCCCGATCATGTTTTGATACGATTATTGGCGGGGACAAATCTCGTCCGATTAGATCTATCAGGACCTCCCGTTTAGACAACCACGCGGGGTATTTCTCTTGGGCATGCTGGTCGGTGTCTCAGGTGCTTGTATTGTCCGATCGAATTCAGGTATTCACCGAAACAAACATGCCCAAGGAGTACCTGCGTCAATTGGTAGGTGACGCGACTTGCCTCCCTAACTAGGGAGGCAGGTCGCGTTACCTACCAACAAGCGTAACTACCCTTTGTTTGTTTACCTTATATTGATTAATTTCATATAGTCATTTTAAAAATTTGAATATGGTCGGAATGGGTACAATGATTTAAGTAGATACTTACTTCATCATGATGTCTTACATGGAAATACGAGTATACTCCTTATAGGGAAATACCGGTAAACTTATTTTTGTAATTAACTTAATTATTAAAGTAATAATTACTAGATAACTAGATGCTTTTAAATTTTAAATATAGGTAAACAAACTACGAGTATTTATAATGAATAAACATAGTTATGTATTAATAAATAAATAAATGATAAATACATAATTTACACAAATAATCTTATTCATTACACAATAATTTGTTAGGACAAATCCGGAAACTACCGGGTTGCCGAAATAGAAATCAATCCCACGTAATATTAACTGTGTTTTTTTAAATTTTAATTTTAACTTATTTTAAGTAGATTACCTAATTATTCAGCCTTGTTGAGCTTCGGTCAGTAGCTTATACTATATATTTATAATTAAAAATTAGAATTCTACAAAAGCATTTTGATTTCGTGTTTAGTGATTCTGAAAGACGACTAAGAGATCATAGGTTTGATTTCCACCAAAGAAAAAAATATTTTGTGAAAAGTAACACTGACTGAGTGACTGCTAAGCCAGAGGTCCCACCCGGGACAGATGATTGTGTGATGAGCACGATCATTTCTTCTGTGCCTGGGTGCAATTTATCTATAAGATGTCATTATTTAGAAATATATAAGTACTAGCTTTTGCCCGCGGCTCCGCCCGCTCCGACCGACAGGGGACGTATGTCTATGTCCCCTGTCGGTTCAGCGGTTAAACCGTGAAGAGGTAACAGACAGATAGATAGACAGACACTTTCGCATTTATATTATTAGTTTGGATGTTTATCAGCAGTCTGGTTACCATAGTACAGGCTCTGCCTAGTTTAAGATCAGACGGCCATGTGTGCGGCTATTATATTTTTTTTGTATGGGTGTATATTTATGCATTTTATGATGAGTATGTTTATTTATTATTATTAAATAGGCAAATAAAATACCAATACGTTTGATAATAATAAGTTTTAGTACATTTTCTTAAGAGCTAGTATTTCATCTTGTAATCACTACTTTAATAATTAAGTAAATTCCAAAAATAACCATGACATTTAATGTTTGGTTTGGTCTGGGTGTTTGCATAATAAGTATGTATTTACAGAAAACCAATATTTTCCTGTAATAAGGCAAAGCCATGTTAGTCATCATCATCATACATAAAATCATTGTACGTATCTTGACCATTGTCAAATCAAAAACTTGACTCAAAATAACTTGAATCCTTCCTTCCTTCCTTCCTTCCTCTAGGAAAGTCTAGCCTTAAGAAATCATACCATTTAGGTAATTCGGACTTTATTTGTTTATTTAATTAAAACGGCTTAAAATTAATAATATCAATCATCAATAACAGATCTATAAATGTGTCATCACATCATCATAAACAGCCTTTACTAATCCACTGTTAAACATAGGTCTCTCCTTAGAAAGGAGGTTTTGGCCTACTATACCACGCTGGCCAGACGGATTGGTATAGGGTTTGCGTCAAGATTTCCTTCTCTTTGCAGTGCTATTATCCTGCGTAGTTTGCTCTCTTAGTCGGTTCTTACAGTCCCGTATTCTTAATCCGTCACCAAACGGATAATATAAATGTGTGTGATGTATGATCTATAAAAAGTTGTCACGAATTTAGGTGTTTTTGTCTTCTGTCAGCGAACCATCTTTGTAGTTTAAAATCCCACGAAGAATATAAACCGTTACCGTCACCCATTTACTGAGAAAACATATTGTCGGCCTGTATCCCCTTGAATTCATTATAAAAAGAGATAAGAAAACAATGTCCTTTGGACCCGAAATGTTAGGGTCCGGGCTGCGTCGAAGCAAGGTAAAGCGGCCTTTATATTTATCGCCCTTTTTTATGCAGGTAAAGACTCTTGCTCTTGTGTATTTTAAAGAAGGAGCAATATGAACCGCTTTAACGTAGGTTATGGTATGACAAAAGTAATAAATCGAGCAAAGCTACCCTAACTATTATTAACAATAGTAATATTATTTATGTCTCTCTCTCTCCCGACTATTTAGGAGCGTTTATAAACGCCCTTTCGAACGATTTTTTGTCCTTTTTTTTCTTATAGATAAGTTGCAATAATCAAAGGTTTTCCATTCTCATGTAGATATATAACAAACAGATTTAGATATACCTATACATATGGTATAACAATATACATATATATAAATACACTCGTCTAGCTAATTGGTATTGTCGTAAATTACGCTTGGTATTGAAGCCGAATTGCACCTAGAGTAAGGACCCCTATTAAGGCGAGAGGTAGGTATAAGAAGGGTATTGATTTAAGACCGAAAACAAAAAAAAATTACTAAAACAAGCAAGCTTGTGTAGAAAGAGACAAACTTGTTTAGTTAGTTTAGTATACAGTTAGTTGGAATGGTGCCTATACTTACGTGTCGTCACGAAAATAAAAGATAAAAAGTAATGTTATTTGATCATAATAATGTTAAAGTAGTTTTCGTGGGTATAATAACAATTTTTATGAATTATTTTGTTACATTTTATAGTAAATCAATACAATTTTAACTCAAATCAAACAATTACATTTAAGTGGACAAAACCTGTCATTTTTGTGTGCAAGACTTGCGACGCCCCCGTTGAACAAAAGAATGCATAAAATTACCATCTATTATAGTAGAACTATATCTGTACATAAATACTTTCATCTTATATTATAAATATAAAAGTGAGTTTGTTTGTTTGTTAGTTATGCTTTAACGCCTAAACTACTAAACCGATTATACAAATTCTTACACACTTTAACTTTAAAAAACCTATTAATGACTTCAATGAGCTTACATCATGATGACTTGTACATAATCAAATGTATTCTTCATTCCATAATTTTCTACCCTAGAGGTGGTATTCTTCAAATTTGAATGGGACAAAAAAAAAGTAGGTATATCCTCCCATACAAAATATTATTAAATATTTATTCTTAAATACTTTTCCAAATCGGTTCATAAATGACGGAGTTCTGAGGTAACAAACATAAAAAATAAAATACAACGGAATTCAGAATCCCCTCCTGCTTTTGAAATCGTTTCAAACAACAGCACCACGCGCCGGCGTGTCTTTACCTAATGCAAAAAGTTACTCATGGTGTTTAGTAAGATAAGGACGCAAGAGATTGCATCTATCCTAGTAGGACATTAGGAGGTAATAGGAGAATGTTACAGAACGATGTGTTCATAATTTAAGAGTGGTATAGAAGACCCCGTGGATAAAGCAGAGCGCTTAAATTCTTAATAAATTTGAAAATTACAAATCGACCTATAGGTAACAGCCATTGCCCAAAGAGGACTGACATAATATAAACTATGGTTAAGTCGAATAAATTACAGTCGTGTTTATGAAATTGCTGAATATTTTTGTAAAATAAAAATAACCATTGGCTTCAAAATAATATGATCATTCATTACGTTGTTTTAATAAATGTGCACCCACACACGTGTTAACAGTAATTTTTTTGGTGGGACAATTTTTGTTATCCCTATTTCAAAACATTTTTAGGTAGATAAATCAACTTTTTTGTCGAATACACATAACACTTCTAAACTTTTATCACTTTATGTAACAATTAGACTGCACAATAAACAATAATGAGGATTTAATAATTTGTAAAACAAAAGTCCTAAAAGGCAAAAGAGACATTCTAAACAAACAACGGAAGATAAGGGGCTAGAATCTTGTAAGTGTTAGTTTTTCGTTAACAGTTAACACTTGGTATCGTAAGTATGTCAGTATCATTTGTAATTTGGTACCTACGCTTTTTTGCGGACTACTACGGATATCCTGTGAAGGTGACACAATAATAAAAACACAATAGACAACTGCCAGAACCTTATGATGAAAGAAATCATGCTAGATAGTTACGATTTAATTACCTATAAATTAATTAAATATTTAACATAGACATAATATTTAAAAAAAGCATGAATATATTATTGTCTTAACATTCAGGTGGTAGTCTATTCTATGGTGGTAGTTATGTAATGTAAAAGCTATCTACGTTTTCGAAGTGGACCTAGTAAATCTTACAATAAACAATGCAATACTTAAAGTACTTCAAACGGTGTACATTATATGCATAGTCGCGGGTGTATCGATAGTCGATATTGTATGCATTATTGACAATTATTCAATTAAAGTCGTGTAATTTTAGTAATATCTTTGCAATCGTACTATTGCTTACTCATCTCAATTTTGATAGATGTGTGAAAGATTGAATAGGACTCATCCAAATCGCCGAGCCATAATTTAATGCCAACGACGACGAGCGTCTTTTCAACCATTCGGCTATCACCACTGTTTACCTACCTACTGATATTAAATAAAATATATTGCCTACTTACCCTACTTAACGTAATTTGTCACAGAATCTATTAAAAGTAACATGTAGTTACAGATTGTCATTAGTGGCTAACAAAGTGTTAAGTAGATATCAGTGATACAACAATCATACCAACCAGTGAAACAAAGAAACATAAGAAATAATAGGAAAAAATGAGGTAAGACAGCAGCAGGACTTGAGAATGTTGGAAAGCAAGACTTGGATGAAAAATGAATTTAAAAAGTAAGCATAAGACCTACCCACTTAATGGCATATTTGCCATGGCCAAGGGCCTGGTGTGTCTGGGGCGACAGATCACTAAGGTGCGGAAATCTGGCCGTGGCGCGTGGTTTCTAATAGTAACCTACCCACATATTCTATTGTAACTTTTCGATTTGCCTTTTCAATACTTCTCTACCTATCTACTTTAAATTTGCAGTTGTATTGACAGGATATTCTAAAGATATATTTCAAAAAAATTACAGGTCCTTTGGTGGTTAGCGTACAGTACCAAGAAAGAGAGCGTGGGTTCGATTACCACCCAAGACAAGCGTTGTGTTATGAGCTCGATGATCTGTTCTGGGTGTAGTTTATCTACAATAGGTATAGGTAATAATCTATAATAGGTAGTATATAAGTATGTTTATTAGCAATCTGGTTACCATAATACAGTCTCAGCCCAGTTTGGAATCAAACGATAGATTACTATAGACTATTTAAGTTTATCCAGAGGCGTAGCATGGCCTAATGTAGACGTGGGCGAAATCGTATCAGCGAGGCCCCTTTTCTTTCGTTCCACATACAGACATAGGTGCCCAAAACATTTATTTTACCAAACATGCTTTGACCATGATACTGAAAAAAAAAATGCGCGATGGCAGAATTTTAGAAAGCTTATAGATTTGAAAAAATCTTTTAGTTTGTAACTTGCTTGTTTTAATTTCTTACCAAAGTCAGTTTCTTCTCTTTTTTTATGAAAGAAGGGGGCAAACGAGCAGACTGGTCACCTGATGGTACGCGCTTTTCTTGAAGGTTTGAAGGTCGTATCGGTCCGGAAATACCGCAGACAACAACTTGTTCCACAGATTGGTTGTTAGAAACAAAAAGTGTCTAGAAAAGCGCACACTGGTGGAGTGCCAATTAATTATCCCAGTGATGAGGATGAAATTTTGCCGTGTGGAACTATGCGGGAAAGTTGCGGCCGTTATTAGTAAGAACAATTGCTCGGACCACTCCACGGGGTATATACGATAGAGTATAACGTAACGCCAAGGAATCGAGCCGATCGGAGATCTTTTGGCTATCGCCGACTCGAATCGCTTTTCGTTGGATGCGGTCCAGAGGGAGAAGCCGGTACTGAGGTGCCCCTGCATAGAAATGAGAAGAGCATTCCATATGCGCCCGGACTTACGCCTTATAGAGTTGAAGGCGGTGGGCCGGAATGAAATACTGCCTCGATCTGTTCAAGGATCGATACGGCGAAGAATATTGAAGGGAGGTGACAAGTAGGGTTCCCCAGGCGTCGGTCCTAGGACCTCTTCCGTGGAACCTTGCGCATAAAGCAGTCCCAAGAACTAGTCTTCCTTTAGAAGTGAGTGTCGTCTGTTACGCGCAGGATGACACGCAGCTGACCGAGTTAGGGGTAGCTTGTGTCGTCCAAAAGATTAGTGATCTGAGCCTGCGGTTAACGCGTCATAACACGGAATCCCTGTGGTTTTACAAGAAACGCGGAGGTTCAGCTCTTACCCGCTTGCTCATTAGCGTGGGGAAAACATAGGTAGGGGTCAAACGCCATATTAAGTGCCTCGGATCCGCGGGAGCCATGGCCCTTTACGGAGCGCCGATATGAGCTAAACGCCTATCGGCATCCTCCCGCTGTCGAACTCAGCTCAATTAAACGCAGCGGGTAGCGTTCGGATCGTACGAGGATACTACACCATCTCGTCGGAGGCGGTGACAGTCCTGGTGCCTTTAGATATACTGGTGGATTCGGACACGAGGGTCTATGACTCGTATGATCCGGCGGGGTGGGAGCGGTGAGGTTCAGAACGGACTTGAAATGCTGCGAAGCATTCATCCACAGGCACTGATGCAAAGGCGTGCGGCTGGACGAAATGTGCGAGCTTTTAGTAGGTACCCTTCTGCCTAACCTCAAAGAGTGGCTAAGTAGGGAGGCAGGTCGCGTCACCTACTAATTGACGCAGGTACTCCTAGGGCATAGTTGCTTCGGTAAGTACTTGAATACCAGCACTGTGCAGCCGACTCGGTCTCCGACCAGCATACGCAAGAGAAATACGTGGTAGATACCCACGTATTTCTCTTGCGTAGCGGGAGGTCCTTGTAGATCGAATCGCACGAGATGTGCCCACGGCAGTAATCGTCTCAAAACACGGTCGGGCCACAACACATAGGTTACGATTGGGCCAAAAGGCAGGGAGGCCCGAAACAAACACACTTCTAGCATAAATGTGATCAAATTAATTAGTCATCTGTGGTAAAGTTCAGGGGCCTCGCATTTAAAGGAGCCTCGCGAGGCCCCTCTAAAGTGCGAGGCACCTGAACTTTACCACGCGCGCGACGCGCCTACTCCGCCCACACCTAGCTACGCCACTGAGTATAATTTCAGTTTCTACCACCTGTTGTTGACATGAATTAATTAAGAGATAGTTTAGAAGCTACCGACACAGATCAGTTTCTTCAAATATTATTTATTAAGCACTTTCATTACGGCAACCCTAAACAGAAAGGCATTTTTTGTGTGCGTGCATGGCGCCCCCCATGATTTTGAAATACGACTCTTTGATTGTAACTACTGTTAATTTTGTAAACGTTGGTCAGGACCACGTCTACCCAGCCCCTTTGAAGATCAGTTAAATTAGAGCCCTATATAAATATTAAACCAAGACCACAGTAGTAAAAACCAATGGATAGAATATCTTTTATTTTTTATATACTTAGTTCTTAAAGACGCGAGAAACCACCTTCATGCATTTATAAATGTGCGTGTGTATTCAGACGCATCTTATTGAATTTTAGAAAGATTTAGTTCTTAGCTTGTTACTAAACACCACCACGATGCTATCAGAAAACGCGTAAGTAAAAATAAGCACTTTAGTTACCATTGCAATTTTTTTCATCAGCGTGTCAAACGACACAGCATGTCAAAATCTAAACTTTTAAAACACAAGTCATACGTCTTATTCTAAACGAAAATATTCTCATGTAAATTCACCGCATTCTCTATCGTACCTAAATATCTTGTAGAGTGCGCCGCGGAATTATTCGGACTAATACCATATCTTCTGAATGGTATGTTTTTTTTAAATCTGTTTTTACAAACAGTATAAACAAATTTAAAACAACGTATGAAAAAACCTACAGCTCTCTAGAAAAGCGTTTTATATGAAATCTAGCAAATGGCCAAACGTTGTCGCAGCGGAAACCTGAATGTCTTCGCAGTTTATTGACGCACAAATTTCATTTAAACATACATTTCATGAATAACTCCGCAATGTTTGGATGCACAAATTTTTACTTACCTACCATACACAATTAAATACACACTAAATATCTGTTAATCTCAAAAAATAAAATTCGAACTTTTTCCGCTGGTGCAACGCACACGCCGCTACTTTCCGCCATCGTTCGACACAGTAAAATTTTCATCCATATCACTTGGATAATAATTAACACTCCACCACTGTACGCTTTGCAAGACACTTTTTGTCTCGAACAACCAATCTATAGAACAAATTATCTTCTGCGGTATTCCTGGACCGATACGACCTTAAAAAAAGGGCGTTTTCCTTCCTTAAAGTCCGGTAACGTGCTTGTGACTCCTGATTGCAGGAGTTCATGGGCGGCGGTACACTTTCCAACAGATGACCCGTCTGCTCCTTTGCCCCCTCTTCCATAAAGAAAAATAATATTAAATCACTATTAGATCAATATCAATCAAATCAAAATCATGTTTTAGGTTCAGGGTTGACACTAAGTAGGTGTTTAAAAGATCTAGTACCTAATGGATTTACCATTGATCTTTCGTTTTGTTCATAATTTTTAGAATGCTGAACAACAATCATTTTGGAAGTTCTGTTTCTATTCAATTACCTACTTTTGGGTGTAAAACTGCAAAGCATGGGACGGCAGGGAATGAACACCAAACATGTGACTTAACAGGTAATTATTATTATGAACTTTACTAATTTTGATTATTTATTGATTCGTCCCAGAATATTTTTGTTATTTCATTTAATTTTTCTGATACGTAACCTACCTAACTGTATGTCTAATAATGATCACTGGATTGGGATATATAATTCAAGAACACTTAGCTTCATGGTAAGATACCTAGTTATTATGTAGGCACTAACTTATAGTTGTACTGAGTTCAATTAGTTACTAATTCATAATGATCTAAAATGTTTATCTTCAATGGTAAGCAGGACGTATCTAATGCTTTTAGTCGAGAATGCATTTTAGGTTCATAAACATAAGAACTAAGAACAGCACGTCCTTATTTCTTTGAAATAAAAACTATTTCTCTGGGTTCCCACGAAATATCAAATCGTAAACAAACGTGTCTGCCATTCAAGCGCTATGTTTTATTGGCGTCCCTTTCCCGCTGCCGTTTACCGCGCTTTTTACGTTTTCGAAATTAACGTTGGCGGCATTTAAAATAAGGCGCGAGTAAATTTCTATAGAAGTCTGGTGTTGAGTGGACTAGGTCATTTTTTGATATACTTCTTTTGCAAGTATATTTATTTTACTTGTAATAATTAAGTTATATAGAGTTAAGGCCCTTAAAATTATAATTTCTACCTATTTCTATACATATTTTCCTTGAAATATCACGAAATAATTTTATGAAGCAAATGTACCAGACGAACATCGATAAACGAAAATAATCCTTCTTCCCTGGTCTTACGCTTTAAATTTGTATAAAGAAAGTAATTGATACGTCACGGATATACGTAGTACAAGATGTCTCACACATTTGTGCAGTTGGCGGCCTTGTCTAGAAGGACCAATCACGTACGACATAGATGGCGCTTCGACACCGACGCGAGCCGACCCCAAGCTAGCTTGCTCTGGGAACATTTGCTTCGAGCTCCATACATTTTCTTCTGGTTCTCTACGTCTATAGTTTGGTTGTGCACCAGTTCAAAAATAATTTCAAAATTTTTGCCATCAGGTAAGTCTAATCATTTTTCCAATCAAAGTTAAGTGTTTTAATAAGTGTATTCGTGTTTATTACGGCGGGATTCATAGAATTAAATTTCGTTCCACGTTGGAATTCGCATTCAAACATGGCTATAGGCTTCGCTGTACTTTCCTTAGTACGCGTGGGTATAGAAAGGACGCCTTATTTCAATAATTAATTTCTCAGATCTTTACTATTGAAGCATTGAAACAGTTCTTCTACAACTTTTAGATTAATAGTTATCGGATTATTTGGTAATTATGTCATCTTTAGTTATTGCGTATTTTCAACACAATCCGTGAAAACAAAATGGCTCTTTCGACCCAAGCTTAGGACAGTGAACTCGTTATATAGGGCGATAACAATTCGTCAATTAGTTCGTGGTATTTAGGTTTCTTTAAATATTATTGCGGGTTATAATTCATTTATTAAATAAATAATGTCTGAAGATTTACGAATACTTGTGTAAAAGGCGTAAACGTGTTTCCCGCCAAAACGCCGCCCTACTGTGCCATATAAGCCGTGCGAAGGCTATCTTCCAGTCGAATTCTTTAAAGCATGGTCCGCATAACCTGTTGCCATATATTTTCTAGACATTTAACTAAAATTCTCTTTGTTTGGTTGCAGGAAAAAAGTTAAAATGACGGACAAACCCAAGCGTCCCATGTCAGCATACATGCTATGGCTGAACAGTGCAAGAGAACAGATTAAGTCCGAAAATCCCGGCATGAAAGTCACGGACATTGCTAAGAAGGGAGGAGAAATTTGGAAGTCAATGAAAGACAAGAGCGTATGTATTATTTCACCAAATACACATATCTTTGTTCTATTTGTGCCTATATTTTATATGTATTATTTCTTGTTTAGGAATGGGAAGAGAAGGCTGCTTTAGCTAAGGAGCAATATGCTAAAGATTTAGAGTCATACAACGCCAACGGCGGTGGTGGCGAGGGTGGTGGTAAAAAGGCACAGAAACGGGGCAAGAAAGGAAAGAAGGCTGCGCCAGCTGTAAGTTTATTCACTTTCATCTCTTTATAATGAGCAAATGTTTATTTACATCAGTTACTTACTATAAACTTGCCTTGTTTCATAGAAATCCAAGAAGAAGAAGGAAGAGTCAGAAGAAGAGGATGGAGAGGAAGAGGAAGAAGATAGCGATTGATCTCCCAACCCTTAAGACATTACTGTTCATATTGAATAATTTACTTGGACTTAATTTATTACAAAGTAAAATGGGACTGACTTTCCAAAGTCTGTATGACAATTCACACTTTTTTATAATTATATTTCTGAGTTAAGAATTTTATTATTTTGGCTCGTGTTTCTCATGCATTATAACAATTAATTAATTTTGGGTCTACACATGAAATTGTTGATTGTTTCAATGTGTTGATTATCTACTACTTGTGTTTTGTAGTATAATAGTAATAATATATGTGTATGTAAGCAGATTGCAGAGTTTGGAAAGTTCTGCCGTTGGCTAGGGTCTAGGTTTCTAAGCCTCAAAAAAAATAATGTTTAAGTGTTAGCATGTATACACCAGGGAATTGTACAGTTAGCCCTCCCTCGTTAAGTTCGCTGTGACTACTGGATGCTCACTTTAAGATGTACCTCTACTGGTTTCATCAAAACTAGTATGTCTGCAATACTACCTAATTTGGTGTGTAACATTTAATATAAAGCTGTGCTTTAAGTAAACCATATTTGAATACTGTATTGATAAGTTGTGTGCATTAACTTTGGACATAAGAGTTTTGGTCAGACTATACCAACATGTAAAATTAGAGACTATTTCATGGCAGTATGTGATGGCTTATTGTTAAATGAACCTACCTCTTCTCATTGTAAATTTTAATGCTGATACTGGTACCTACCAAACCTTTATGCTAAGAACATGGTGGAGATGTGTCCCCACCAAGCAATTTAATAATCTAGGAAATTGATGTGTATGTTGTATTTTTAGTTAGTCAATAGGTAGGTTTTTGATGTGATTTGTCTCTCAAATTTTACATTTGTGTTATTTTGTAAATGAGAAATAGCATTCCTCATGTCAATACGGATTTTACATGTTCAATAAAGTAATTTCATATAAAATATTCTATTTTTCAATTTGTATTTTCATTCCGTTATTAGGCAATGGATACCTTCTTCGCAGTTGTAACTAGAGCAGAATTAGGTATCTGCCTACTGAAGCGTAGACAAAAACTCGCCTTTAAACAAACCAAGCGCTTTAAGACGCTAACTGATTGACCGCGTGGCTTCCTGGGAGATAGGTGAAATATGACGTCACACTGTATAGTTACACATTTTTTTTGACACCCGTCATTAAAGTGGGAACCTAACTAGGTAGGTACCTACTATTTGCAAAAAGTTCTGCAATTTGCTTTCAATTTCGGGTACAGTAGGCACCTGTAGTATACGGATACCTAACTAAAAATAGCGTATCTTAGGTACCTGCCTAACCTTAAAATCGCTTAGGTTTAGGTAAGATACATGTACCTACATCAGTGTAAGTACCTATATGGGGACCAATCTATGGAAGGTAGATAGGTAGGTATCTACCTATATCTAATTATTTTAATTTGACAAGATTTTACTTAATTATGTGGCTCGAGTAGGTAGTGTTGTTACGTCATCGAGATAAGCGATCGATACCAGTTTGTTGGATACAACTTAGATTGTATATTTGTAGATATCGGATTGAGCGACATCCAAGTCATTCACTTTTTTTTATTATTTCTTAATTGTCACTACCAGCTGACCTGACAAGCAGTTCTTTCGTATTTTATTAAAGTATTGGGAAGTACGCAGAAAGACCCGTGGATTCTCCCGCGCTCTCACTACACTAGCTAGGTATGGCTGCTGACGAGAGTCTTCCCACATATTTTTTGTTGTAACGCTTTTTTATATTCTTATATGAATATAAAAAAGCGTCTAGAAATTTAAATTCTCATATCAGTCAAATTGATTATGATCGACGACGATGAAAATAAACGTACCAATAACGATAAAAGGCGTGATTGTAATATCCCTGAAGGAGTAGCAGGGATATCCCTGAAGAAGTAGCAGAGGCGTAAATTACATAATTTTGCCATGTATAATTTTAATCCCACTTATGTAAACAGGGGCAAAGCTATTGCCATCAACCAGGTCCCTTGGGGATTAGATAGGAAGACATAGCAGAAAAAGAACATTCCTGATACGGATAAACGGGGGCAATAGCTTATGTAAATCAGACTCGAACTAAATGTTGCTGAGAAGTCAAGCTTAACAATGTACCCCATTGTTAGGCTTGACTACACAAATATGAAAAACTTTATTCTGTCTGTCACAAATACCGATTTTCGAAATTCCGAAAGGCTCAAAACTCCTAATATTACAACTCTGATTATCATTTATCCTATTTTTATAATTCGTAAATTTCTATTTTCCTAACACATGAGTTTCGGTAAAAAAAATTTCGTGAATTTTAAAAGTAGACATTATAATTCTTAAGTATTATGCAATTCCCCTAACAATGATTATACAAAATAATAAATTACTTGGAAAGTATTACCAATAAAATTTTCTCATTAAATGTCCTTATAACATTCGCCGGCCGTAAAATTGTTGTTACATATAGAACCATATGCAGGTGGCAATTTTATTATTTGTCGTTTCCCTAATATTTGAGTATAAATAATATCATAAAGAAATTTTTATTTCCTTTATTTCATTGTGGATATGATGATTTCCATTCAGTTCAGTCTTACCAGTTCAGATTACTTCAGACACAACATTCAATGCATTTGCTGTATTTACAATGAAGGATACAGAATTAGTCTCTATTCCAACTGTTGTTACTTTATCTTTTCACCGTAGATATTTTCAAGTATTTCATAGTAGTAACTAGATAGCAGACCAATTATTACATTACTAAATAATGTTTAAAAAGTTAAGTCGTTTGTTTGCTAAAACCACCAAACGCCAATGGACTCAAAATAATGTAATTACTTAGTTGCACTTTTTTTTTAATTCTAATATTTAAGGAGCTTTTACTTTATACGAACTTATTATCTGCGATACATATAATTGGATCAACTTATGAAGGAGAATAATAATTCTCCTTCATAAGTTGATCCAATTATATGTTGTGCCGTATTGGGGTGCTTTTTAATAAAAAAGCACCCCAATACGGCACAAGTACTTTTTTTTTTGTCATTTTAGTTTTTAGGTTTGCTAAAATGCTGTGTGTTATCCAACATTTAATTTATTGCAATTGAATTTCTTTATTAATGATTCACTTTCAATTTTGTTCTTGACACATTCCAAGTTGCACTTATGGTATTTCCAACATGTTGACAAATTTCGGGCATCTCTACGTACCATAAACTCAGATTAAACAAAAATAATCAACAGTGTCAAAATCCCAACATGACACTTGACATTTGAAAACCTGTTTAAAGTCACAATAATGTGATGCTTTCAATTTTGTTTATTGTACAGTAATGCGTACCTGTTCTTGTATTTATGAAAGTGAAATAAATAAAGAAAATAAATTTTATACAGTAAGTCTTACTAACGGAGAAGTGGTTTACTTGATAGAAATCTGACAGACTATAACTATATATGTTGTTTGAATTTCAGTTTTAAAAGTTATCACAAAATACAGGTTAGCTGATAGGTATTTTTGTGTAAAAATAATCACACAATAAATAAGTTTTTAATTACGCGTTTAATTTACGCGCAGCTATGGCAGATGATGGAAGCGGTGCTGGGTCGCAGGTGGCGCTGGTTACAGGCGGTTATGATCACACAATCAAACTGTGGCAAGCACACAGCGGAGTCTGCCTGAGGACCATGCAACATCCAGATTCGGTTAGTAATTGATTTATTATTGAGACTGCACTTAAAAAAAAAAATCAAATAAGGACACTAACTATAAATTATACCGTTTATGTAGTTGCTATTAGCAATAAGACTAAGACTGCATTATGAAATAATATTTACTGAAGAACCTTATATATTCATCATCAACTCAGAGGTAAGACTTCCACTACTGGACATAGGCCTCCCCCAAGGTTAATTTAGTCTTTACACTTGTTTTCAGCAAGTAAATGGTCTAGAGATATCTCCAACGGGACAGATGGTGGCTGCATGCGGCTACCAACACATACGGTTGTATGATCTTGCCAGTGCCAACCCAGATCCAGTTGTAAACTTTGAGGGAATCACTAAAAATGTCTCTAGAGTTGGTTTTCAAGTGAGTATTTTAAATTAATATTAGTACTTAATTAGTTTTAGGTATTTAAAAAGTAATTGACTCAACAGATGTTGTTCTGTCACTTTTACAAGTTAGTCTGTCATCATTTTTATTCCTTAGAAAAAACCTGTCTGTTTTCTTAAAATCAAGTGTTTACCTGTACCATAATCATAATAGGGTTAGTAGACATTCACATTTAATAATTACTTCAGCCTTCCTCGTACAGGAAAGAATTATTCATAAATTAAACTTGGAAACAAAGGCAAGTTACAATGTTAGTTTTTTTTAGTGAAGAAACCCCCATGGATAAGCACCTCACCAGAGCTCACATTAAAGTGGTATGTCGGTATCAAACCATCTAAAACCACAGTGTTCCATGAAGTTTATTACAACGAACTCAGGTATAAGCTAGGAAGGATGTCCCCGAGAACGAACCATTGCATCCATAGGCAGTCATTAAATGCAGAGAGACTTGACGTCTTTCTGGCCAGGCCACTATTCATAAGGGATGGAAATTTTCGAACTGATGGACTACGTCCAAATGGCTACCGATTCTGAGCTGCATGCAGATCCCATCCGCAGAGATTGTGATACTTGGCGACTTTACCTCTCACAACGCCGAATGGCTTAGTTCACGCAGAACCATTCACGCGTTCAGATCTGTTCACGTTTTGGCCCTGACCTATAGCTTGTCATAACTGGTATCAACGCCTACGCGAATCCCAGATGTGGCAAGTCATGAGCCTTCACTGTTGGACCTTCTGTTGACCTCCGATCCGTTACAAAATCACTGTTAAAGCCCCACTTGGCTTCTCGGAGTATTATCTAATTCGGAGTACAGTGCCACTCTTGTGCTTGCCACGGTCGCGAGTTGCAGGCTGCCGCCGCGTGTGGCACTATAGGTCAGTGCACTGGAATGGGATGGAACTCCGGTACTTAGATGATCACCAGCTACTCAATGACCGACAATATGGTTTTAGCCGGGGTCGCTCAGTTGGTGATGTTCTCTGGCAGGCTGCCTTCTCTCAAAGCTCCCTTCCTATGGGCTTGACGAGACATTGTGTAACTGGCTCACGCTGTATGCTATCACCCACACTGTTTTTTCTGCATATCAATGACATGTTGCAAATTGGTAGCATCCATTGCTATGCAGATAATAGTACGGGAGATGCCCTTTACACCGGCTGCCCCAATATTTCTCGGGAAAACGTCATCGAGAGTCGAAACAAACTTGTGTCTGAAATTGAAACTTAATTAGGGAGGTTTCAGATTGGAGCCGACTAAATCTAGTCCACTTTAACCCAAAAAAGACACAGTTTTAGGACGTTCACCGCAAAGAAGATACCATTTGTCGTATCACCTCGGTTTAAGAGCACCTCCCTAACTGAGTCAGACAGTATCGTAATCTTTGGCATTGACATATCGAGCGAAGTCCAGATTCGGGGTCACTTAGAGGGTAAGGGTAAGGTAACTTACCGCCATCGTTCCACACGGCAAAGTTTTCCTCCCCGTCACTTGGATACTTGGCGCTTTTCGAGACACTTTTTGCCTTTTTTTTTTTTTTTTTTTTTTTTAACGTGTGGAAATCCCCTCGGACCGTCACCCCTCCGGGGTTTGCGGCGGGGTGGTGTGTCGGACTCGGACCGACTAAAACCACACGGTGTGCCACTCTGCGCCTGTAACAGGAGGGATCCGGGAACAGCTGTTGTTAAGACATCCGGACCCCTCCTAGCGCCAGCCCGCTCCTGGTGCGGGCTCCGTCTCAATATATTTTTCCTCTCTATAGGCGACGTCCGGCACACGCGGACGCCGCCCCCTCGCGGCTGGCCAAACTAATGCGGGTGGAGGGGACACTTTTTGCCTCGCACAACCAATTTGTGGAACAAGTTATCGTCTACGGTATTTCCGGACCAATACGACCTTCCTAAAAACCGGCAACGCGTTTGTGGCTCCTGAGTTGCAGACGTTCATGGGCGGCGATAGTCACTTTCAATCGGGTGACCAGTCAGATCGTCTGCTCCCTCTAATATAAAAAAAATCTTAGGGACGGGAGTACTGACCCTCTCCTGTTACCTTCCTGCCTCCTCTTTAGTGGACTACACTTCCTTACTAAAGGAAGCGGTGGATTTGCAGCACTCTCACTTTGGACCATGGCCAGAACCATGGTCTCTAACGAAACATTTACTACGCTAATAGCCACCGTGAGTTCGCAGCATTGTTGCGTCCATGCTGACCACTCCACTAGAGTCTGGAGTGCAGTATCGACAGCCTCCGAAATGATGGCACGCAGATGTTAGTTCCGACACAGGTACTTTCCGAAACAGCCGATAGGAGAGCCAGCCATGAGCCAAATCTCTACGATGGGTCTTATCACCGGTAAAATATTAACCTTAGCATGTCTTTGCATAGTATTTATCTGTGTCATCATCATCAACAATCCTTAACAGTCCACTGCTGGACATAGGCCTCTCCTTGGAAAGGAGGCTTCGGCCCACTACACCACCCTAGCCAGACGGGTTGGCATAGGATTTGTGTCAAGTTTTCCTTCTCTTTGCAAGTCTTTGTATTTCTTTCATGTAGACTAAGTAGTAATAGTAATAATAATGGTTAAATGTGATGTGTAAATTCGAATTGTTCATACAATTGGACCAATTTCACTCGTTTTTATTTTAAACTGGCCTGAAAATAGGCAGTTCATAGAAAACACATTACTGTAGACTTGTAGACTAACGATCCTCTAGTAACAAGGAAAAGGCCGGCTAGTGAGTGTCATTAAGCATGCAATAGCAAGTCCCATCCCAAAAAATAGGGCTGATTAACTTATTTTACTTTTAATATACTTTATTTTTTATTTCAGAAAGATGATTTGTGGATGTATACTGGTGGAGAGGACTGGACAGCTAGGATATGGGATCCAAGGTAAAATGGTACTTTTTTAACCCCTGACCCTAAAATGACGGGGTGTTATAAGTGTCTGTGTCTGTCTGTGGCATCGTAGCTCCCGAACGGATGAATAAATTTTGATTTTTTTTGTGTTTGAAAGGTGAATTAGTCGGGAGTGTTCTTAGCTATGTTTGATGAAAATCGGTCCAAGATGGCCGCCGCCACAAAATGGCGAATTATAAATTTGTTCACAACTCCTTCAATATGGGTATCAAATGAAAGGGCTGGACTAGTAGAATACTATACACTATGACAAATTTCAAATCCAAGATGTGTGTCAGGGTTTTTTTTGTTTTTAATTTATATACTCATTATTAAATTGCATTAATGAATTTGTCTTAAGATACTGACAGTTAATATGGACAGACATTTGGCATCAGTAATAATAAAATTACAAATGTGATACCCCTTTTTTTTGTTCTAAAGATGGTATATCATAACGATGTCATTATATATATACACTAGCTGACCGGCGCAACTTCGTCTGCGTCTCTCAATAGTAATAAATTTTCTCCGTTTTTGAAACATTCTTTATTGGTGCTCCGCTCCTATTGGTCTTAGCGTGATGATATATAGCCTATAGCCTTCCTCGATAAATGGGCTATCTAACACTGAAAGAATTTTTCAAATCGGACCAGTAGTTCCTGAGATTATCGCGTTCAAACAAACAAACAAACAAACAAACTCTTCAGCTTTATAATATTAGTATAGATTATATCGTTATATTACAGGGCACTTCCACAGTTTAGCTGTACAAAAATATTTCAAGTGCAGGCACCAGTGAATGCTGTTATGTTACACCCTGACCAGACACAAATAATGGTCGGCGACCAGAGTGGCATTATACACATGTGGGATTTACGAACAGATCAAAATGAACAATTAGTATGTGGACTATTATCTTATCTACTTTTTATTTTCTTAGTTTTGCAATGAGAATTGTGTGCAAATTGTAGTAAAAGTAACAACCTAATTTTACAACACACTAACATAACTATTGAACTCTTATTATCCTTCTCTAAATTTACCTCTTCTTAATGTTTTGTGGAAAGTGAAGAGCCGCAGCAGTCACCAGAAGCAATTTTAATTAGAATTGCCCTTAAATTCTATATTATTTTTACCCATAAGATACCAGAAGCGGAAGCGTCAATCCAGGACATAGCCATTGATCCCGAAGGCAAGATGATGGCAGCTGTAAACAATAAGGGCAACTGCTACGTGTGGTCGTTGGGAGGCTCGGCGCCGCACCCCGTACCGCTCAAACACATAGTTGCTCACAGCAAATATGCTCTCAGATGCAAATTCAGTCTTGATTCCACGTAAGTAACAATGTCATTATATCTTAATTTTGTTATTGATTGTAACTAATATGAGTTTTTCTTTTAAAACTTGTATAAATTGCTATATACTTTTATATACTGACCTTTGCATGGTTTAACTCTCGTACAAAGTTATTTATCTAACCCTCGGCAAATCTAGAACATACTAGGTTCAAGACTTCTACACCACCAAAAGGTCTGCGATAAGTTCATTCACATTTGTGCCTCGACAGACTTAATTGCCGAATTGCAAAGGCGAAAAATAATAATTAAGTAGTACCGTTTATTTGCATTTAGAAACTATATATGCCTGTGTTTTTATTTTAAATTTTGTTACGGTTGATGTGATTGCGTAACAAATAGACAAACTCACCTTTGATGTTCACACACCATCTTGGATCATAACATTAACATGGTAATCTATAGCATGTTCTTGGTATTGGCGTAAGACTCTAGTGTCCGCATTTAGACTAAATAAAGGTCCAATATGCGTGTACATGAGGTTGGCTAGGTGAACCAACTGAGTTCCTTCCAGAAGCACAGAAGCCTCATGAGGCGGTCGTTTCGGGGCGGTCGATCTTGCATAACATTAGCATATTTGTTCAATCAATCAATACAATTGCAGTATGTTAGTGACGACATCAGGGGACTGTTCGGCCAAGGTGTGGCGAACGAGCGATTGGTCGCTGCTGCGGGAACTGCGCAACGAGACCCAGCGCTGGGTGTGGGACGCCGCCTTCAGTATCGATTCCAGATACCTCTTCACTGGTTCGTATATCATGACATGTTCTTTTAGTTATTACACTTTTTGAATGTATGGTTCAAAAACCGATAACGGTATGAGAGATACAAACGTCAATCGAATATACTTACACACATATGGCAGGCATGATGTCTGGCTATCGAGAAGTGCAGCCAATTCCTCTAATTAATAAGAAAATTACACAATTTTGTTGTGATTACTTTGAATTCATGGGTATATTGAACCGCCTTATATCCCTATATTTTTTCTACCCTTCGTAATTAAGATGGTACAAGATGAATTAAGATTAATTGATTAATTATTATTAAGTAGATGGTATGAATACGCAAGGGTGCAATTATGAAAAAAAATTAAACAACATTGCGTATTAGTATTAACCCTCGCAATCTTATATTATTCTACTACATGTATTTATACTACACGAAGTGTTCTTCATATTATTTTTTTATGAATAAATATGTAACAATATATCACGATAGTTTTTTTTTAATTTAGTAAATTTCAATACTATCAATAACCAGTACTAAAGATTTTTATTATCCTAATATGTATTAAAATGTAAAACACATGCATACATATTTTAATGTGTATATCCTAATTACTTTTAGGTTCGTCAGACAGCTATGCTCGCTTGTGGGACGTGGAAAAAGGTACACTGGAGAGGGAATACTGCGGACATCAGAAAGCGATCACAGCACTAGCCTTCAGAGACCAGACTGTTTAGATCTTATGTTAGTGTTAATTTAAGTACTATTGTATATTACGATCTTGTTGTAAACTTTATAAGTATATAAAACTAGAAAATTAAACCTAAGTTTAATAGGGACTCTTCTGTCGAACAATTAAAGCATTTTCTGGTTTAGAAGAAATAACTTGGTATGCGCTGTACTACTTACATTGTTAAGCTTCTGTATATATGTAAATATTGATAGTAAATCTTACAGAAGGTAACATTTAAAACAAATTTCGTTTTATTCTATTACTTCACTTTTAAAAATTAGGGTTTCATGTAAATTAGGTTGACACATAAACGCTAAATATCGCAGGTTTTTTTGTACCAAAGAGTATAGCTAGATAAAAAAAAGAGTATGTTTCGTATCGCAAGGACGATGATCGTTATCACACTAATTTAAAATAATAGTGTGCTACGTTGCGGAACTGCATTTATTTTTGTTAAGTAGCAAACTACAAAAACTATCTAGTATTGGTACACCGGCATTGCTGGCCTTTGTTTCTACTGAACTCGAAAATAATATTTACTGTTTACAATGAAGTACATAGTAAAAGAAAGTGTAAAAATGCAAACCATTAGGAAAAGGAGTGGTGCGGTCTAACGAAAGTTACATCCGTTGGTAATCTCTTCATATAATCGCTTCCACTAGCACTTTATTCGGCCCAGGGGAAAATACGTAAGTGATGGAAAAGATTTGTTTTACTCAACTATATGACGATTTTTATTAACACAAAATGCATTGCGTGATTGACTTTGTGATTTGGTCACCCTGCGTTAAATAGTCAGCCTGTTTAGGGTAACACCCTATACATAGCTTGGGGAAATCGAGTGTTAAAGTAAATCGGGTCGTCGATACTTTTTCTATCAGATTCTTTATTTTAAAAGTGTATAGTTAATAGTAGGCCAAAACCTCCTTTCTAAGGAGAGGGCTATGCCCAGCAGTAGACTATTAGAAACTGATGAGGATGATAATTAACAGAATATAATGCCATAGTCTTACTGTACTCGATGATAATGCCATGTGGTTTCAAAATCATAGATGTTTAATAATCAAAAACTGTTCTGTTCGCTAGCAAACTTTACTATATGAATATTGGATGTTAGGTTACTATTTTGAATATCAGGCTCTAAACCTTACTCTAAGCATATTCGTGAGCAGAGCTGAAAGCCCTTACCATCACGATCATAAACATTTTAGAGTGGATGTACAGGTGTTACAAAATGTTGAGATCATATTTAAGAGATTATGACCCTCTCACGGTTCCTTATGACCGCTTCTCAGACCTTAAACCTTAAACTTATGATTTTTCTTCACCTCTTTGCCATTTATGATTTCATTTTGATGATTGTTACATTATGACCTGAGTCTAAACACGTTTTCAGGAAATCACATTAGCCAGGTTTGACTTCTTGATTGGGTTTGATGTATTTACTATGTAAATGGTAGTTTTTTGTAAGTAAATATTTTGTACTATTAAAATAAAATGTAATATTTATAAATATGGCTTTATTTTATTATATAAGTTATATGACCCCCTTATTTCTAAACAGTGTGATTCAGTGGTTTAATGTTATCCTGACACACAGAATAGAGTTTTCGATAATGTGCCAGAAGATGTAGCCTTGTTAGTACATAAGGTATTATTGAAATGTCGCGATTTTTAGTGACAAGTCCCTCTTTGAACAATATTTCTTTCCTTTAACATTTGTCTGCTCCAACTCTTAGAATGTTATGTTTACTTTGGGTCAGAAAGAGTTACGTAATAATGTCCCCAAATAATATTATTGTTATATTTCCATTGAATAGCAGCACACAAGCTTTTTATAATAGGTAACATCAACAGCCACTTGATTGCTGAAGGGAACACGCATTCGTAGCCATCACAAATCTTGAGCACAAACATCATTCTATTGTTACAGTTGGTTCCTATTGAACAATGTAATGGTCCTTTATATAAATATAATACATAACATATAAATGTAACCTATACGCCAAAATATGGTAATTATCAAGTTTAAGAAATATCATATGCTCATTAAAGGATTATATGGGATTAAAATTGATCCATTGTTTGCACGTTTATTCTGCTAAATTCATCATCAAAGTTTAAATTAATAAAAAGGGTGCAAAATCTTGAAATAACATGTAACTTATTGTAGGCATGCACATAAACAAAAAAAAAATAGATTTTACTGGTCTGTTTTAAAACAAGCAAACATCAAATTGAACCATTCTCATAGAATCCAAATAATTTGTCAATATAACTTTAAATGTAACTAACTAAAATCAGTTTTGAGATTTCTTTTCTGGTGTATAATTTAAGTGTTCTATGTTTAAAGCAGTTTTAACATTCTTTAAATTTGACAGGATAAAATATATTATAATCATGCGTATTTTGGGAAGATTGCCACTAACAGTTTTAATAAAATTGGTATTCAAAATACTTATTTTAAGTAAGTACTACTGCAAATACTTTATCATTTTTGACGTTAATGCACAGAATACTATAGTATTTTAAAAACAAAGTTTGAAACTTGGACCCACCAGGGTTGACGTCACTACACACTCGGCTACTTGATGCATAAAGATTTATTAACTTTTTTTATAAGTTAATCATACGGTACATTTTAAATGGTTTCTTTAATAAAGTGGTTAAAATATATTTACTATTAGGGTACAGTTTACTTTATAGTTCTAATATATGTTTAAATTATAGTCAAATACTTTTAGTTTGACCTTGTGTAATAATATAAATTGATGACATTTGTGCTGAAGCTTTGTTGTGGCTACTAATACTAAGAAGCATTTATCAACAAGGGGGCATGTTAGTGCCGACCTCTAATAATATTTGTTATATACATACAAGACATTTTACCTTAAATAAAATGACAGATAAGGTACACAATTAATGTAAGATCTTTTTTAATATTATTTTATATAATAGTTCAAATTATATTGCACAAATAAGTTTCACAAATACAAGTTATCTTATTATAGGTTACTACTCAAAAGCTAATTTAATAATTTCATAGCATATCTAGATAATTTATTTAATCTAGATGGATTGTAATAAACTTAATTCTTCATTCCTTAATTTTACACCTTTTAGGGGTGGTATTTTTTCTTCTATGAGACCAAAGGAGAAGTATCAAATAAAAAAGAATTTTGAACTTTGAACATTTAATCCAAATCGGTGCCTAAATGCTGGCGTTCTGAAGCAACAAACATAAAAAATCAACCAAATTGAGAACCTTCTCGTTTTAAGAAGTCGGTCAATCATCATCATCATCAACAGCCTTTAATAGTCTGCTTCTGGACATAGGCCTCACCTTAGTAAGGAGGTTTTGGCCTACTATACCACGCTTGCCAGACGGGTTGGTCCATACAAACTTGACACAAACCCCTGCTCTTTGTAGTGCTGTTGTCCTACGTAGGTTGCTCCCTTGACGACACCCATGGCATGAATAGGGGTGTTGACACTCTGTATTCTGAATCCGTTGCCACACGGACAATTGGTTATGAATTTAGAACAAAATATTTTTTGTTTATTATAAAACTGTTTTTTTTTATATTGTTTTTATAATCCATTGTTTAATCTGAATTGAACATTATGAACCAGAAGCTATAGTGTACTAAACTAACACTTATTAAATTCAGTGGACCATAGATTTTGGATAGTAACCTCTAACAAATTGTAATACACGTACAGTAGTTACACACAGTTTCGCGTTAATTTCCTAATAATACTTAATTACAGATCTTATAAAATTGAACAATGTTCTACACAATTCTATGAAATGCAGCATAATTTGTCAAAATAAAACTTTCTGTACCACATTTAATCATATTGCTGTAGACAATATATTAAGTACAATTGCATGTGGAGCATGGAATGAATGTTTAATAAATGCTTTATTTCCGATATTACATAATTGAATCTCGACTAGAAATTAAATAAATATACAATCAATAACATAATGATAGTTAAGTATATCCTCTCAGTCCTATGATTAATTTTTCGCTAATAAAGTCGTCAGTCATAGCAAAGATTTTGAAATAAAAAGTGGTATTTATAAATTAAAAATGTAACAATACGAAATAAGTGCATATCATGTAACATTTTATAAACCTAAAGGTGCTAGTACGTTTATATAATTTGAGTGCAAAAATAAGTCTTGTTAATTTAAATGTAATAATAATAAAAGTATAAATAAATGTCCTTTTCATTTGTATTAAATTTAATATTCCATAGATCTGCAACAGGCATAGCAGCAACAGGCTATACTGGTATGGACGACAGAGATGACCAAAATGCAGTAAATAAAGTTTTAACTATGGAAGTTGGCAGATATAAGATTATAGGACGTCTAAAGAAACGATGGATGGATTGCGTACAAGAGGTTGTGGGTCAAAAGAGAAGAGTGGAGGAAACAAACTCATTGCGGCGATCCCACAGCAATGAGAAAATACCAAGAAGATGATGATGAACAATTATCCCAGAATATCAAAAAAGCTTCGAAATATTTTTCAGCATATCCATTGAAGTTATCTAATACTCTTCTGTTAAAAGTAGTGGTGGCGGCCTCAAAATTTCCAGTTAGTAAAGAATAAGCGCCATGATTGCCTGGATTCCGTATGACCCCAGGAGTGGGGGAAGTAATTTTTTTTAATACAAAATTCACATACTTGGTCCATATGTTATAGTGATCAAACCTACGTCAAATTGTAGTTTAAGGTGTTATTCAAGAAAAAAAATGATTGCCTCGATAAAAATGACCCAAGTTGAGGCAATCACGAGTTATATGGACCAAATTAGTGTTTGAATGTTTCGATAAAAAACTTGTGATTGCCTCAACATGGGTCATTTTTTATCCAGGCAATCATGGCGCTTATTCTTTACTAACGTGAATACCATCGTTGCTGAATATTGCAGCCGTCTCTCGGCCTATAGATATTTCCTATCTCTAGAAATGTGCTTACATTTTAAAACCAAAAAAAATGGTGATATGAGATTTTTTTCAACATTTTATAAATCAGATCAAAAAGTATAAATGTCTTAGCTGACGACCTTGTCTTTTGTGAGTTTACAATTGAGGCTTAGAGATTTCTTAGCGTATTTTTTTTCATATCGCACTCCACCGTATAGCGTTAAGCGTGATATAAACGAATAAGCTATCAGCCAATTAATCAATAAAGGTTTACATCTTCGTATTAATACTATACACAATCAAGCGGCAGATCCTTGACTTCGCCTATTTCCGAGACGGTCTCTTCGTCCTGTGTTGTATATGTGATGACGAATTTGAGGTCTACCTGAGGACAGGAGGGCGGTCGTCCGACTAACAACACTTGCGTGATGGCCGGGGGCGGTAGAAAGCGGTTGTATGCAGGAAGCTTAGTATCTGATGGCGTCAGCAGACGTGCCTTGCATCCCTGCAGACACAAGGAAAAGTCTTACATATTTGTGGCTAGTAATTATACGTTTTTTTCATTCTCAACTAAAATAGAAAAGATGCAGCAAAATAAAACATCATTACTATGGATTTTCTTTGAAAGTTCAATAAAGAAATAAGATCGCAAGTTTTTCGTAATATTCCATCATATGTTATTTATTTTAATTGAAAAGTTACTCAAATTGTTTGTTAAACTTTTAAATGAAGTATTTTTATAAAGACCGGCAGAAACTGATATTTACCTTAGGAACCACACACCGAAATTCATATTCCTCAATGGCTGTTGTGCTTTTACTTGTAGTGGATACCACAATCACATTAACATCCTGCCTAGGTTTGTCTTTACAGAAGTGCAATACGACTGTCACCCCCTCTTCTTCCTCATACGCCGTCAATGGAGGCAATTTGCTAGGTTCGACGCTATCTAAAGTTACATGTATATCTGTCAACGCTCTCACTTCACTTTTACTAGTCTTCTCTCTCTTTTCCTCCTTAGAATTAATATCCTTATTTACTAATTGTTCGCATTTGGCATCGTTTAAAGGTACACTTAGATCCAATATATTCTCCAATGGACTGTTAGTGTTTAGATTTGTATTAGAAGTTGACGGATTAGTACTAATGTCAACGATGACGTCATCAGTAGGTGTGAGGGATTTGGGAAGTTCTAGTATCGGTTTAACGTCTTCTTCATGTTTTTTAGTAAAAAAATCGAGATCAAACAAAGCGCCATTATTTGGTGGAGACTCGTGTTTCGGCGAAGTTAGTGCGTTCATTGGTATTTTTTTCATTGCTTTTCTGTAATATAAAAGTAATTTTAAATAATAATTGTATGGAAGTATCTATATTTGTACAAGAGGAAAAAGATTGAAGGTCGTATCGGTCCGGAAATACCGCAGACGATAACCCGTTCCACAGATTGGTAGTGCGAGGCAAAAAGTGTCTCGAAAATCGCACTAATAAGGATGAAAATTTTGCCGTGTGGAACGATGGCGGAAAGTTGCGGCTCGTATTAGTCCGAACAATTCCTCGGAGCACTCTCCATGATATACATATGCGACAGAGAATGCAGAGTGAAGCCACATCTCTACGTAACGCCAAGGGATTGCCAGCATTTACGAATTTCAAGTCGGAGCATGCACCGTCGACGACGACCTACATGCTTCTGTCTGCAAGGAAACTGGTGACCCAATCAGAGCTTCGAGCTTCGAGGAGCTTCGAGAGAAGCGCTTTATGCCAGACCCAACCCCTTCGGTCGGGTCTGGCATAAAGCGCTTTTCTCGAAGCTCCCTTCGATATTGTCGGTCATTGAGTAGCTGGTGATCATCTAAGTACCGGAGGAGCTAGCAGTTGATTATGGATTCCATAATCTTAGAGAACGTAGTTGGACGGGTCAGAGCGGTCACCTGTTTTAGGGATCGGGTGCACAAACTGTACCTTCCAGGAGTTCGGGACGACGCCTTGGGAGTAGAAGAGTCGAAAAAGGCGCACGTCGTCAACATGATAGGAGAGATTCCATCGGAACCACACGACTTATGAATGTCAAGGGAAAAGAATGCAATGATTTTTGTGTGAACCGGATATCCGGCATATAGCTCTGGCACCGCGGTATGGTCGGCAGTACGTTTCTTCAGTCGAATTAGATGCAAAGAGTTTGCCTAGGAGATCGGCTTTCTCCTTGGCATCATAGGCCAACCAACTATCTCCCATCTGCAGGGGTGTACAGGATTGGCCACAGAAATTCCCCTGGACAGCCAAGGCAAGAGACCAGAATGCACAAGTTCCAGAATTCAATCTCACCAGTCTCTCACCGATCCGGCTGATGTTCTCCGATTTCGCCCTAGCAATGGCTCTTTTAAGGGACCTTTTAATAGGGCCTAATCCCACCCACACGCCCACCACTGTAACTCCTGTACACCAGGATCCACAGCAGTGACCCACGAACACACCGAGTTATGACACTCGAAGTCCCAGGAAGAAATTAAACTGTCTTGGAACCCGCAACGAAATTAATCAGAAGAAAATTGGAGGAGTTGGAAATACAGTAAATCCACTTCCCTCCTTAGCAAAGCGGGAGACAAAATGAAGTAAAATAGGCATACACCCTTTTAAAAAGGGAAGGCCACGGCCACAAAATATTACGGGTCCTACGTGAGCTATATTTGATTTCTATAATATGTATGGCAGAATCGCCTACAGGCGCGGAAATTCACTAGTGATGTGCCGGATATCCGTATCCGTATCCGTATCCGCGGATATCCAAGGGAGAAGAGAGATCCGTAACCGTATCCGTATCCGTGACTTTTTTGGCGGATCTTTCAATACATATTACATAGATGAAATTCTATATAGGTGATTTTGTATTCACTGTAAAACTCTTAGATATGTGTTTGTAACACTATAAACAGCAACTTTTTTTCTGGCCAACGTCAAAATGAAAAAAAATTGGCCCTCCATTCAAATTACCAATCAAATGTTATTAGTTTGTATGGAGAAACAATTTTTTTTCTTTCGTTTTCGGTGTTAGTCCAGAAGAAAAGTTGTTGTTTATAATGTTACTCGTACTAATATGCCCTTCAGAGGTTTTCAGTAAATTTAAATTTAACCCTGAATAATGGTTATTAGGTAGCTATGAAAAACTATTGAATTCTGTTCAGATTACTTTTTATTTCTTAAAACAAATATTTGGCACCTTTGTATTGCAATCATTTATCGTACTACACTAAATCAACTAGGCAGGTCGTAGGTACTGAAAGAGCTATCATTATAATGAGATCAATCAAATATCTTTGTATTAGCTTATTAAAATAATGAAATATTTAAATATCAACGGCAAAGCGTCAAGTGGTGACAACTATTAAGGTCACGGGCTCCGATTGAGTAAGAAACTTAAGATCCGTATCCGTATCCGTATCCGCGGATCTTGACACCAAATATCCGTATTCGGATCCGTATCCGCGGATATACTTTGTTAACGATCCGGCACATCACTAAAATTCACCCTAGTTGACACAAGATCCCCATAGTATACCGCCCCAGATGTCAAATGCAAGCTATTCAGCATTATATTACGTTCATTATACCAAAGACTACATTCCCAGAGGATATGATGAGCAGACTGTTCATAGTGAGAGTAAGGTGTTGAGCATTGACACAATAGTGACTCGACTAATTTAAATGAATACAGCTAGCTCTTAAAGTTACCATGACCCGTAAGAAATTGAGCGACACGGTGATCCACCTCAAGCCATGTCCTCGACAACCGTTCGCGAACAGATGGAAAGAATTGGTAAAGATGGCGCCCCTTGGATGATTCGTCCCAGCATTGTTGCCATTCGTCTATGAGGTCATTATAGACATCGGACGGCTGTTGAAGCAATCTTGAAATTTTACCGCGATCCCGCGCGCCCAAAAAATCGCATTCCATGTTTTGTTGTCTTGTTGTCTTTTAAGGGATCTGGAGGCAAAGTTATAATTTTTTTTTAGCGTGCTGGTATTTACATCGCCTGCCGTTGCTGCATTTACCCATACTTGGTAGCATTCCCGCTTTCGGCGGGACGCCGTTTTGCAGTATCTGTCGAACCAGGACCAACCTGCCACCGAAGGGAATTAATGTAGAAGGAACGAATAGTTCCATGCCCTGAAGCACTTAGAGAGAGAATCGGCAACGACGGTGGGATCATCCGGCAAGAAACAGACCTGCCTCCATGTGTAGGACGCAGTGCCATACAAGGCGACAGCCTGCAACTCACGGCCGCGGACTACGGATTAGACACTGATCTGAGGAGCCAAGTAGGGCTTCAATGGCGATTTTGTAACCGTCCGGATCGGAGGTCAGCAGAGGGTCCAACAGTGAAGGCTCATGATTTTCCACATCTGTAACTCGCGTGGGCGTTGATACCAGTTGTGACAAGAAATAGGTCAGGGCGAAATCGTGAACAGATTTCCCCGAGTGATCGGTCTTACGTGAGCCAAGCCATTCAGCGTTGTGAGCGTAAAGCCGCCAAGTATCACATCTCCGCGGATGGGATCTGCTGCAGTACGGAATCTGTAGCTATTTGGACGTGGTCCATCAGTCGGTCAGTTTCGGTGTCACCGCTGTGGGACCTGTAGAGGCATGCGTAGACGTGGGGATGGTTCAAGTTTTCCTTCTCTTTGCAGTGCTTTTGTCCCCCAAGGTTCACCACAAGAACCGGTCCTGTGCTCAACGCATCCAAATAAAATAAACCCGCATCTAAATATGTATAAATATTTTAATGAGTACTTGTGTTAGTTTTACATCTACTGTACATGGAGTAACGTTATCCCTGCATTGCAAGGTACAAAAAATATTAAAATATTTCATCCTGTTCTTACCCATTAAAACTTTCTAGTCGCTTAACATTGTCAGGTAATGACTGCTTTATAAGTTGATCACCGAGAGAGTCCAGTTCATTCCAACCTTCAATTTTACTTGTCTTATCACCTAATAGATCTACATCCTCTGTAAAACAAAATTCGTGTTAATTTATGCCTCTCGAATAGGTTTTCTTATCGTATAGGGGCAAACTCGCAGACCCATTCTTTTTCGACGTGTGGAGGCGAGGCGAGGCGAGAGGGTTCCTCGGGCCGACCCGACGCAAACCCCACCGGAGTTAGCGGTGGGGCGGCCCGAGGAACCGAACCCATTACAACAATGACGTGTTCCGATGTGAAATTGTTGTTGATTGTGATCCACAAATTGTTGTTCTGAGTCTGGGTATTTTTTGTCCGTTTTATGTATTTGTAGGGTCCCCCACGACACAGTATATATATTCCTAATGCTAGAGTTGTCTTTTAAAAATATATATATGTATTCCAAAACATCTTTTCCTCACCTGTGTTCGTAGGTATTAGACTGACAGGTTTCAGTGGTTCTGCAATATTTGAAGAAGCAGTTTCAGTTGAGAATATATCACCAAGTTCATCAATAGCATTATTCTTCGTAGAGTACATAGAATTGTTCGAAACATCGCCTCCGCCGCTACTGACGTTGGCCCCAGCAAAGTCCAGCAAACTCTCACTGTTTGTCCCTTGTGTATGCTCTTTAGGCTTTGTGTCATTCATATGGGCTTTCTTTTCTTTTTTATGCTTACAGTATGAATTGTATCTCTCGATTACCTCATCTAGAACTTCGTTAACGTGTGAAATGTCACCTAAAATAAATAGCATACATAATTACTTGTACAGCAATGTTAAAAGTTGTCTGTTTATTTTGCATAAGTCATGGATATGTATCCATAATAGAGTTATATAGAGGAATGTTCAAACATTTATCAACTGCTTAGAACAACAGAAATAAACTTGAGAAGGTAACAAAATAATGAGATAAAAATATGTCTGCAACTTTTTTTAGTGTACATTGGTTCTCTGTTTAGTTTTTATGCTAAAAAATTGTTAAGTTATTGTCAAAAAAAACCGGTCAGGTACGAGTCGAACTCGTGCGCCGAGGGTTCCGTACCTACCCAGATTTTACGTAGATTTTCGCGAACTAAAAATTCGTAAGTACCAATTTCCAACTTTTTTTATTTTTTGGAATTATTCCTTGATTTGTGCTACAAGACGTTTCTTTTTGCCAAATTTCGTGATTCTAGGTCAACGGGAACTACCATTTAGGTTTTGGACCCTAAACCTATAGGGTAATTCCGGTTGACCAAGAATCGACAATTTTGGTTAAAAGCAAGTCTTACAGCACAAGTAAAGAGAAAATTCTGAAAAATAAAAAAAGTAAGTAATAAGCCCAAACATGGTATAAATATGCTGTAATTTCAGCAACAGCAAGTTCCATTAACATGTCGTGGAAATACCATCAAAGTAACAGTATACCAAATTTCAGATCAATGGATGGATGGATGGATCAGGAGCTATGATGCCACAGACTGATATACAGGTTAAACTCATGGGGTGCTATACACCTCTCGTTTTCCATTGGAGGTTAAAAATACACACAACCCAGATACTAAACACCTTAAACATTGTATTATATTTACATTGCATATTAAAAACGGTTAGGTTAGTATAATATTAAACAAGGGCACTTACTGCTATCCACAGCACTGGAAAATCCAATGCCAGGCTCAGTCTGTGCGATGTCTGGTGCAGTCTGCCTCTGCAATGCCTGCTTTAATGTACTACATGACAAATGTAACTCATAAATGAGTTGCTCCTCCTCTGGTGAAGCATCAGCTGCATTTGCTAATAACTCACGCAATAGTTCTGCACTGTCAAGTGCGGTGCTTACTTCTTGTGCTCTCCGACTGCATTCTTCATTTCGTCGTTCTTCCTGATAGCCAGAGAATTAGTTGAATATGAAAGCTCAAGATTTAAATCACAAATGATTTAAATTTTATCTTCTAAATACTAAATATACAATTAGACCAGAATATTTTACATTTATTTTATAATTTAATTTATAATCAATGTCATCATTACACATATGTTATTAAAGTTCCTTCATAATGTGCAAATTCATTATGCCATGATATTCTAATCATTGAATGTTACTAAATGCATAACATTTCTAATTTACAAGAGAAATAACAAACTAATAAAAAGGTATGATTACAGCATATATGATAACTAACTGATGAATATTATAAACAAATTGAAACAAATCAAAAACTAAATTGAATCATCAACAGCCTTTACAGGACTATCCACTGCTGGACATTAGCCTCTCCTTAGAAAGGAGGTTGAATGCCCAATGAAATCCTGCCGGCATATGTTTTTATGGACCATAAAGTACTTACCTCTCTGACCATAGTTTTAATAAGTCTATTAGCATGCTGGAGATCTTCTGGTTTTTTGCTTTGTAATAATTTTTGTAAAAGCTTAGATTTTTCCTCATCCTCAAATACAGCACTTTTAACTCTGTTCCGAGGCATTGTCAGATCTTCTGGGGGAAGTGGTGGTGGAGTTTCTTTTACTACACCCTGGTTCTTTAGCATATCATATGCCACTTTAAATTTTGACTCCTTTGGGTATTCGATAGACCATGCATGAAGTAGTTGGAGTACCTAGAATTGTTGAATTGAAAGGAAAAAGAAAAAAATTGTTTATTGTCAATTACATTATAATATTTTTACTCAGGTAAAACCCTAAATGAACAAAGTTTTATTAACTTACCCTGGTTCTTACTTCAGGTGAAGTACGATCTGCGAAGTATTTGGGGGAAACTAATTTAATCATTTCATTGAGAAAGCGGAATTTGCCGATTTCACCATGAAAACTAGAGTCACATCGGCGCATACAGCGATCTAACATCATGAGAGCCAGCAGAGCTTCGCGAGTATTCGTCGTGTGGATACGGGCAGCCAGAGCCTGTGCTGCTAACTGAGGACCTTCGTTTGAGTCCCGCATAACCGTGCAAAAAGCCTCAAGCGCTGCCGCATCCGGACACGGTAGAGATTCGTGTGTTGCTTTTACTAAGTAAAAACAAAACAAATATGTAAATAAAATGTAACTTGAAATACATAGGAATCGCTTAATAATTTAGGAAGTTACTTACATATTAAGGCTTCTAAGCTGGTCAACGTCACGTTCATTTTGTTAATAATAAAATAATTTACATATGGAAATAAATATTCTTTGATTATTTCTGATCATTTCATTTCAATATTACTGACTGACATTAAGGCAATGTTGCTAAGTATAAAATAAAAACGTACGAGAGTGGCAGATAGCAGATTCTTACGATCAAAGGTACATTTTTATTTATTTATTTATCACAAACATAAAATAATAATGTTAGTATTTTATCGTAGTGTTCATCGAAACGGCAAGTTGTGTTACTTTTATAAAGAATGATAAAAATTCAAATTTTAGAAAATCTTAAATAATAAAAAGGAAAGTGAAAATTGTTCCTTTGAAGGCAATATTCCTTTTCTCATTTTTATTTAGAAATTAGTTGCACCTTACATTGCAAGAAGGAACTCTATGTAATAAATAACACTATACGTTTAGAAATGATTGACTACTGCTACCAATACCATTACCTACAGTGCAGTCAGTGACGTCACCTTGTATAAAATTTTGAACGTCTACTAGGTACGTCAAATTGATAAAAATACAAAAAATCTGGTTAAAAATAGGTTCCTATACGTTTCTGGTGTAATTGTGCACAAAAGATGGCTATTTTCCGGCTGTCTCAATTGCTAGTGCAAACTAAGAAGCTCTCCAAACATGTACATTTTATTCTGCGAAGGCCAGCAACTACGACACCTACTGGTGCTATTCTGCCCGAACCCGAGAAAAAACCTTTTGGACTTTTGAGTATAGTAATGGCTGTTATACCAGGTTTACTTATTGGAGCAGCTATTAGTAAAAACATTGCGAATTTCCTAGAAGAGAATGAATTATTTGTGCCCTCGGACGACGATGACGATGATGATTAAAGATCTAGGTACTTACTTCCAATTTTGTAACTGGAATGAACTTGTTCGTATAGTTACAGCCAATTCTAATTGAGTAGACAAGTAGTTGGTTCGCACTATTAAAATTTAATTTAGAAAAACATTATTTATGTATAATTTTTCCTGTTTCAGATTTATAAGCTTGTTGTGGATATAATAATACAATTTATATTTGTTAATACTTTTTAATATAGGGACAGTTACAAAAACGTTAAAATTTTGTGCTCAACATCAAAATTATATTGCACATAGTATTGATGACTTGTTATTCAAATTATTTAAAAAATCTATTCTTATTTACATCATTTACATAAATAAGTACAGTATAATGTAACATGATCATAATACAATATAAGACAGCCTTTATATACAGCTAGATAATTCAAATCATGTTTATAATAAATGCATTGTAAAAAGTGCAAGTTTTGTTTATCTAAAGAGTAACACAAGGCAATTTTTGCTAATCTAGTCATAAGTTACTCTCTAAGTTGTAGCAATAAATGTTTACGTAATCTCATCACACTTGTGCTTAATATTTCATAGACAAGTTCTAATAAATGAGATAATGGCATGATTCAGTCTTTCATTTTTGACAAACCAATACAAATTCTAACACTATAAAAAAGATGCAAGTAATACACAGTATAATATTCTCGGTACACCTTTTCAATTTGTAAGCAATATTGCATTGTAGAAATGTGTGGCAAGTTGAAAGATTATATTTAAATTCTGTTCCCTAGACATTCAAATATGAATAAACTATGTTTTTCCACTAATAAAAAATAATGTCTTCTAAAATGATTCTTAGCATTAATGACTTTTTATTATTGGACTTTCAATAGTTTTAGTCATATTATCGAATTTAATAGATCCCACTGAATCTGAAACTAGCAATAATTTAACATCTTATAACCAATAATTCTTTATAAGTACAATGTGCTGTAATTTTATAAAAAGAGAGCAGATAAAGTGAGTGTTAGAACTTGTAATAAATTAATTACTCCCTAATTATGTCTTTAAGTTATTATATTTAGAAGTATAGTAATATTGTATAATACTTAGGTGATGTTCACAAACATATTGTCAGTTAATATTTAAAAAAAAGCTACTGACAGTTATATAGTCAGATGCATATTACAATACTGTTCCTGTGACTAATGACTATCATAACCACTATGCTTTTTTATAAAATGTGTAATACAAAAATTATAGAGGTGTGGCTTAAACTAATAACGATATTCCATATTCGCAAATAAATATACTTGATGAGTTAGAAGATAAAAAGGTAAAAAAATCCCTTATACCGCAGGCCTTTTCAGCACTTTATTATTTCGGTGTTCTTTTGCTTCTATTTACCTAAACTTACATCTCGGGTGACAAAAATGGAAATAATTTGATCTAGATAATTTGATCAGAACTAGTTACCAAACAGCGAAAGAAAAATCTTTTCTTGTAACTGGTTAGGAAAATTAAGTTATCAAAGTTTAATAATTATTCTTCTCCCACAACTAGTTACCAAACAACGAAAAAATTCTTCTCTTGTAACTGGTTAGGTAAGTTCAGTTACGAATATGGACAAAGGCTAGCAGTGGCACAGAAATATCTGTTTTCGTAACTACAAAACTAGGAGTAATCATCAGGTTATAAATTAAGAGAAGTTATGTAGTGCTTACATTTAAATCGCATTAGACTGGTAACATAACATCTCTTAATTTATGCTAGCTGGTATCTATGGGTCTACAGGCTTATGACACATTTAAATGGGATTGTATGGTTTGCAGAAATATTTCGAATGTTTCGACAAAAAATCGAGTTTTGCAACATCAAAATTCTTGTGTTGTTAAAAGCAAGAAATCAACCAATTTATTTTCATAATAGTTAAAAAAAAACAAAATATGCTATTCCTACAAATTCCACAGACCCACACTAACCCAAAAATTTATTTGGATTTTTATCCACACCGATCCCCCAGGGGATCTCTTTGTAATTGGAATGTTTATCCATTTCGATCCCTAAGGGGAATACTTTGGAAGTTTTTGTAAACACAAATTCCCTTAATATTCATAATTTAAATTATATAATTATACTAATAAGAATAAACGTAGTGTCTATGTAAATCCACCAGGGGGTCACACTTAATAATGGGAACGCTGCAGACAAAAAAACCCAATAAATGTCCCAGCAGATTTAAGCAGGGGGTCCTAGGGGACTTTGTGTTGAAAATGACTTCCAAATAAATCCTCTTTGGGATCTAAATGGATAAAAAATCTAAATAGATCCCCTAGGGGATCGGTGTGGACAAAAAATTTAAATAAATCCCCCATGGGATCCTAGTGGAGGCACACAAATGTGTATCCTACTACTTTAGTTTGGCCTAAACATAATATGTATATATTTACTCTGGGGGTCTCTTGTGTTCGCCCCAGCCATGGAAGCACTTAGTGAACCTTCGTGATTCTTTATTCTTGAGTGTTAGGAATAACTTGCGCGATTTGTTTGGCTGCACTGTGTTCATATGTTGGATGTAAACCTTTTGAAGAAATAATAATAAGTATGTTAATATAAGTTTACAACTATCAATTTACTGCCTCAGTAAATCATTTGTTTGATAGTTAAAAAACATCAGATTGACAACCATTTTAGAATACCATGATATAATTGTTATGCTGTAGTAAATAATATGGATAATAAGCATAATATAGTCAATATACTATGTACTTACTTGCTAACAAATATAATTAAAATTAGATATTTCCTTCCTCCTATTCAAGCATAGGTATTTCATATATTTCAATAAGTATAGTGTAAGATATAATATCTGATTTGAGTTTGCGAATGCAATTTTTCACTAGCTAGACAAGAGTGGTTCATATTTCAGGCCATTTTATTTATGAGTGATGTCCTCTAATTTCGCAGAGAGCACAAAGGAGAAAAGTATGTGGAGTAGAAGGTAGTTTGTCATCTCTGCGTATATTGGGTCAGTGGATATGGATTAGGACTACATTTGTTATACGTAGGTCTAGCCCACATCAACAGGACATGGCTAAAGGAGGAAAATTCTATTTTGTAAAAATAATAGCTATATACCTGTGCAGATTTATAAGCGAGTTTGATTTCAACTTCGGAGCACTTGGCACCGAGCCATAGGAACACTTGATCACCGTTGTCCAAGATCATAATATCGTCATCCGCTAAATCATCCTATTTGACAAAAATATTACATAATTAGTTAATTTTAAACTTTGTTGTAGTAACTATCGCTTGTTGCTAAACATACAATTTTAGGGTCTAATCCATGACTACAGTCACTTATAAAATAAGAAGTAGATTGTTACTAGAATGTAATGATTCCTGACAACTTAATTTTTACAGAAATCATTTTATATTTTATTTTTTTTAAGAAACAAATCATTAGTCCATGACCATTCCAATTGGCTTTCATTGTCAGAATCATTTTATACATAAAACATGAGCGTATAGTGTACTGCTCTCGCCTCGCTAAACAAAATCAGCTCTACCTTGAATAGAACAGGAATCAATTAAGGTACCTTACCTGACAGAAGTCAGTACACTTCTCGGAGACGGTGAAGTATCCCTTCTCGTTAGAACAACGGAACAACCTGGTGTAGTTCAAATAGTCGGCTTCTGTCTCGTACGGTTTGCGACCACCCAATGCCACCCAGAAGAAGTTGTCTGGTTCACTTCCTTCCATCAACACCTGGATAAACAACATTTTGTAATTCAGAAATTCGCATTTGATTGAAATAATCAGCTGGTATTCGCAGCTCAAGGTGCCGCCTTTCTACTAAACATCTGACTGGCCTGACCTGGTTAGTGACCCTGACCGCAACGCCAGAGGTCGTGGGTTCGATTCCCACCCAGGACAAATAATTGTGTGATGAGCGCGGTCATTTTTTCAGTAAATGGTGTCCTCTATCTATAATAACGTATGTATTTATAAATGTATAAAGATGTTTATCAGCAGTCTGGTTACCATATTACAGGTTCTGCCTAGTTTGGGAACAGACGGCCTTGTGTGAAATGTGTAAAAATATTATTATATATTAATATTGTCTGCTAAGTATATGTACGGAAATGATAGAACTTATATGCCTACATATGTGCTCACACTATGTGTATTACAACTCTTCACTAAAGAATTTAAATTTCACAGCAGATATTACATTGATCCTTCGTAAATAAAGCAGTAGCTACGTCGTGTTTTAACCTATATTCAACGAACGTCAAATTGGAATATATTGTAATCTCACTTGCAAAAAAGTGTTAACCGTCGGTTTTCTGTGACACCTATCACTCTAGTCGACCCATATGCCAAAGCAGGGGTCTCTCACGATATAAAATTGTTTTCATTTCGTATCTATAGTACACAATAAAGAGTTTGTCTGTCTACCTGCAAGCTGACCCAAGGGTTATTGAACTTTTCCTCGGCGATTTGTTCGATGAGGCGAGCAGAATCTGCGTCGCTCTTACTGCCAATCCACGCGTACACTATCGCCGAGGATGTTTCGTTGGCGCCCTCTAGCGGTACGTTCAGGATATAGCTGCAGCAATTCATATAAAAATACATTTGATACTGACTGAATATTATTGAAAAAATAAGTTAAGAAAGGGTCAATAACTAATGAAACCTGTAATATAAATAAGTCATTATCACACCAATTTTATAAAGGCGAAAGTTTTGTTCGTGTGTGTGTGTGTGTGTGTTTGTAGTTTTGTTACTTTTCACGCGCCAACGGCTGGACTAATTTTGATAAAATTTGGCAAGGAAGCTGACCCCCTGGATTAACACATATCATAAAAAATGTAGTGTTTCCGTGAGTTGAGCAAGGAATTAAAATATATTTGATAAACCACGGGCAGCAGTTATAACAATAAAACATAAAAGATGATATTATGAAACATAAAGCATTAAAATTTAGAATCAAACGTAACTATTGGTACTTCAACATGGATTACAGTTAGTTAAAAGTATTTTGCAAATGGATATTTGCGTATTATTGACATTCGCAACAAGTACGTGGTACTAACCAGAAAGCACTATTCAGTTGCGTGGCATCAGCCTTGACCTGCACCAGTCGAGTGCAGAGTGCAGAGCCGTTGCTACGCAGTTCGTATAACTCCACCGGCTGTCGGCCTTCCTCCTACAATAATACATTTACAATATTACAAAAGCGATGTGCTGAATGCTGTTGTCCTGGCCATCAAATCCATAATGCACCAAGTATTCAAAGTCAGTAACTGCATTATACAAAACACTAGACATATTAATATGATTTCTACGAGCTAAACTGACTTCTTGCCGAAAATAAGGTGTAAAGATTGTGGAAAGCAGCCGTTTTCTGTATGAACACATGTCAGAAGAGCAGAAGTTGTAAATGAAAATTACCCAGATCCTGGAACCCAGGTATAGTGAATGGATGTTTACCCTTCTTTTTACGTTTCGTGATTCATTCCACTCAACTACAAATATAATGTATCACGGTTATATTTAAGTGTATGTCATAAATCAACAGAGTCTACAAACATGTTCCTTTTTTATTGTTCTTTTACTACCGATACGATAAACTATTTATAAAACTAATCCAAAATATATTTCGGGCCAAAAGCTAATATTCATGAGCAAATACTTGCCGGTTTTTGATTCCTTTTTCCATCTTTGATAATAAACCGCCTGTGGAAGTGCGACATGAACTTGAGACTCTCTTGTTGCTGGTGGGTCCTCACTACCTCCAACTTCTTGCACAGCTGTTTAAACTTCCGTTCAAGGCCGAATGTAAAAGTCAACCAGCCCATATTAGGCGCTTTACGACCTTGCCAGAAGTACACCACCCAAGTTGCTGCTTCAGATTCTGTATCCTCGGTCTCGTTATTAAAACCATCATTTTCGTCTTCTGGCTGCGAATATCATGTTTATCTATACTAATATTATAAACGATTTTTGTTTTTTTGTACGAATAGGCTCCAAAACTACTAGACCGACTTCAACTATTTCTTCACTAATAGAAAGCTACATTACCAGGAAGTAACGTAGGATATATTTTATTTCTAATAAACTTAGGCATGTGCAAGAAAAACAGGTTATGCTAACCATGGTGTAAAAGATCGTCTCAAAAATTTCCTTTCTTCGCGTGCGCTGCTTAAATGGTGAAAGATAAGACGAAATAATGTGCTATAATAATTTTAATGAACTGTAGGACTAAAAAAGATCTGCAAAAAAGTTCGCGAGGGGGTATATCTTTAACAGCTAAGCTATAAAAAGCGTTTTTATATTTTTAAAATTATTAAATATCCACTACATACTTTAGATGCATTTTTCGTGTGATTATATGAATCCTTACGAAATTAAAGCATTTTATCATCTAAATCATTTCAAGTAGATAATTTTTTGTCTTTATATCATTAAAATTGGTCAGTTCGTTAAGCAGATATCATTTAATTATGAATATTTAATTTTAAAGTGATGAGTATCAGATGTTCACGGGCCGCGATTTTTCTTATATTCTCTATAAAGTGGGCGTAGCCGGGGTCCGGGAGGGAGGGGTTAGGTCTATGTGGTAAATAGGTGGCGACATCTCTACTGTTAGGTTAGGGTTAGGGTTAAAATTAAATATCGCCATAGATTTTTGTACGAGTCTCAGGGCCGGAATCATTTGTTAGTAGGCATTCTATTGGTATTAGTAGTGGATGTAAAACATCGAATCCTAAGTCTCATAAACATGTAAGCAGCAGCGTGTCACAAAAGGAGGTACTCCAGGAACCACCTGGAATACCTCTTGATGTGACCGCCTTTATTGATTCCTAAAAGGATACAAGAATGTCTATTTTCCCCACAGTATCAAAGTTCAAATCAATGACATTACCTATTTCACAACAGAATTATATTACTTACTTCAGCCGGTAGTATATATCTACACAGGAACACGTAGCAGTCATGGCTGTGGAACACACCCAGTTCATTATCAGGTAGACGAACAAAGTGTCGTCCCTCAAGTACGAACGCCTCCATAGCCTCTAGGTCTTCGTTCCACTCGTCAGCTAACGTCTTCGCTTCCGCGCAACCCATGGCGGGCTGCCGTGGCGTAAATAATGCTGATAAGTCCGCTCTGTACAACAAAAAGTAATATTCGTTATAACAAGTATAGCAATGGCGAAGTTAATCTAGCCAGATTAATTTCATAATTTTTAGACCTAAATACTTCACTACCAGCATTTCAGCCTTAGGACGTCCATTTCTAGACATAGGCCCTAATAAAGACCCGCCCTCGGCATGCGGCCTTTACCTTTTTTTTAGTCTGTGGACTCTCATCGACCGACTGTTCTACGTGCTTACTTTTGGTATTTTTTTATAATCATTAAAGACAATATGTTATTTCGGCAAGGTAGTTAGTTGGAACCATGTAGGAACGCAATTCGTGAATGTCACGATATTGTTTTCAAAATTGTTACTTAACTAATTTTAATCGGCATGAGTTATTTAAATTACCACACTTTACCTTATACATACGTAAATTTAATTCTTTTTTCTTATTTATTTTTAAACTGTTGAGTATAAAACTCGAATCCTCCGGTCGTCTGAAATCCGTTTTTCTATTCAAGAGGTTGTTGTTGACCTATAGAATCAAATTTGCTTTTGCTTATAATGCATGCTTTGCATAATATAGGTTCAATACATACTTGGTTTCCTGTTGTTTAGCCCAGCTAGCCAGGTCGGCGCCTGTCCTAGCGACAGATTCTGCGGTTCGGGTGAAGTCTACAGCGATCACCTCGTCCCATCCCAAGAAATATGTTTTGAACACCTGGTCATGGACCATAAGTAAAATGTAATAAAACAGATCTATTCCAATGTCGATGAATTTATTTGGTACTTCGCGGTACCGTAATACTGTTTTTATAAAAAAAGTTGATAAAGTATTGTTCATAGAACACTAGCTGTTTTCTGCCAGTGAAATGCCCATTGAAATCTTTTGGACCACTTGGGCGAAATAAAATACCTTAATAAATAAAACAAAGACGGGTTAGGTAGTTCATTTATAACTCAAGAACAGCTAGAACGATTTTTGTGTTTCTTATTCTTAGGATTTTTCTTCTCCCCGAATGGCAGAATAACTATTAAAATATTTTGAAAATTAACGGCTTAATGTAATTAACAAATGAGATTTTTCTTCTCATACATTTTGTTTAAAAACTAACACGGATAAAGTGCAGAGCTTTGACTAAAATCGCAGGTGAAACCGCGGGGAAAAACTAGTATAAATTCTTTTCTTATAGTCTAAGCATGGTTAATATAATTTTAGTCCAAGACTTTAATTTTAAAATTACAAACAGAAATTTGATTTTGGTTTGTACATACCTGTGTTTCAGTTCCTTCTTGTAACCTCGTGACCAGTGCATGCGGAGGTCTCGTTACCATATTGAACAATTCCTGAGCTAATTTCACAGCCGCTGCTCTTACTAGACGAGATGATTTTTTGCCAAACCTAAGAGTAATGTTGTACGTTAGAGTAATGTTGATCATTCTTAAGCTACTAGCATCTATGTTCGAATCCCTTTACACTACAATATGTAACGCTTTTGTCGCTAATGAACAGATTAAAAACCGGCGCACCGTCCTTACGAAATTGTTTGGTATAAATACTTCGGTTAAGTCGAGAGGATAGAAAGTAACAATCTCGAAAGATTGTTACAGGAAAAATTGAGGGTAAGAAAACCCCCAGGCCGAAGCGGTTACCCTGATCCGTTTTTATCTATTCAAAGTGCTTGTAGAGCACACTGTCTAAGATAGACACAACACCAAAATCTATAAAAGAAGTCATGACACTCATAATTAAGGAACACGAAGAGGATAAAACTATTTTGCCATTTCATTTAATTACAGTATACTTACCACACAAACACGTCGATATGAGCATCCAGTATGTAGACATTCCGAGTAGCCAGAACACCTCGAGCCAAAGGAGTAGCCTCAGGCTGAGGCAGCTCTAGGTATCCCATACCCAGCTCTACGCGGTACAGCCGCGCCGATCGCCAAGAGAAGTCGTCCGCTACGTGTTCCTGTAAAAAAATCACCATCATCAACAATAGCTTTTAATAGTCCACTGCTGGACAAAGGCCTCTCCATAGAAAGGAAGTTTTGGCCTACTATATGACGGACCACTGGCCAGAGAATTGGCATAGAGTTTGTGCCAAGTTTTCCTTTTCTTTGCACAAACGAAAATTAAAAGCAGTTTAGATGATAAGACAATTTCGCCCAGTTAGAGGCTAGTCCTAGACTTCAATACACAAAAGTGACCTACCTGTGGCACATAAGGCATATCTCCTTGGTAGCCGAGTAACTCCCAGAAGCTGCGGGGTTCCTTTCCAGGCGGTTCTGCAATCAACTCCGCCTTATTCTTTCTCTCTTCTTTGTTTATTTTCTCAGCAAAAAGTCGTGCCTTCGACTTTAATGTGTTCTTTGCTCTTTTACCATACCTATTTAAAAAAAAAGTAAATATTATACATGTAACGGTTGATTTATAACTAGTTGGTAATATTTTTTCTTTTTTATCCAATTAACAATGCACATGTGCATATTTTTTTGTTATAGTTTTAAATACATTCTAGACTCTAGGAACACTTGATATTTCTGGATTGTTACTCAGTGATATGATACGGAATTTCTTGTACGTTTGGCAGAGTATAAGTCATGTTAGTATATGTTCTATATGATCTGTACTCACCACAGATAAATAACTAGTCCCGTATCGAGGACGAACACGTATCGCGGGTCGAGTGTCCCCGCCTCCACCGGTACCGGCTCTAGGTGTATGCTGTTGCCGGCGCCGTGGACTCTATACAGCCGAGTCACGTAATGCTATACAATAAAAAAAATGTTATGAGTTCCTCTATTTTTTATTTTATTATTGAATGGATGTGACTATTTTTGTTTCTTTATCGTTTACCCTTTATAGATATTTTAAAACAGTTTAAGCATTTTCGGGCGCTTTTTTTTTGTTTTTTAAACACAGACAACGCCCGCACTAGAAACAAATCCTGTGTCGCGGGGAGTTTACAAATATTCATGAAACGGATACAAAGAACACCCAGACACTTTGTGGGATGCTCAAATTGTTGCTCTGTGGGAATCGAACCCACAACACTCAGCGCAATAGGAAGCGGCGAGGTGACCGCTTAAACCACTACGCCTACCGTGCAGTCTTTTGAAAGTCACGTCTTCTAAAGCGTGAAGCTATATTGTAGCATAACGTTATAGGTATACGGACGGGGTCGTCGACGGTGAAGAAGCCGGAGGGCGTGTGGCTGCCCTGTATGTAGAGCGGCGGCGTGGGGAAGAGCGCGAGGAAGTCGGGCGCCTCGTCGCCCTGCTCGTGGCGCTGCGTGCGGCGCGCGCCCAGCAGGTTGCGCAGGTTCACCGCGTGCATCGCCGCACACGCCGCCTTGTCCAACTGGGAAATACTACTTTATTAAACACTTGCGAAACACCATCATTCGGATAATTTTATTGTGCTACCGGTAGAAAGACGATTTTTGCAACCGGATACGTTTAAAATTTTTATTCCATACATGCAACGTCGATAAACTAAACTCTTTTATCTTGAAGTGCGCTTCTATGACGGAGTCCCTCTACTCGTAATCCAGGTTTATTCCTAGCACGAAATTATGGTATCATTATGATACATCTAAATAATATTATATTGTTATAATAATTATCTATGTTTATTAGATGTAAGTTTTTTCATGAAATAAAGCTTAATATTATTATTAATTATAGACTTCAATGCGCCGACATCACGATTAACTGTAATAAAAAACTGCATAAAAAAACGAAGTAGATTTTCTGTTTTCATATTTCCATAACCAAACGGGATTTTCCAAATCAGCTCATAAATAATGGTTACAAATATAAATAATATAGCTGAATAGAGAACGTCCTAATTTTTTTTAAGTCTCTTAAAAACGTAGATGCAATTTTAAATAAACAAATGACTTAAATGTTACTAGTTAACCCTTACAAAAAATTGTCACTACGGTTATAAGAATTTAAAACGATTTAATTCTGTTTACTTACAAAATAGGTAGTCATTTTGTAAGTAGTTTATTTTGTGTAAAATTATGTGAATAACTATAACTTTGATAGACTAATTTAAAAAACTACAAGAGTGCATATTACTGATATATATTGTTGTTACTATATGTAATTACCGTAGCCTTTGAGCCTATCCAGAAGTGTATGTCCCATGAGAGTTGGCCTTGTTCTTCAACAGTTGTCTTCAGTACTATGTAGCAGTCGCCTTCGAAGAACTTGCCGTGCGCAACCTAGGACAAATTAAAATGGTCAGTCGTAGACGTATAATTACATTGTGTAATATAATATTCTTTTAAATATACTGTAAAAGATGAAGTTTCCTGTGGCGGAACCAGTAGTTTTAAGCCAACCGTAAATAAGAATCCGTTTACCCTTTTTTAAAATTCTTACCTCTTCTACAGGAGCCGGTATAAAATTCTCAATTTCCCACACTTGCATACCAGGTGTTTGGCCGGTATCCTCATCGAAGAACTCCGAATAATCTAATGGAGGTTTTTCTAAGGTTTCGTCCCAACGTTTCGGTCTAAAATGAAAATGTAAAAGATGCAATAAATTAACAATAAGTTTCTAATCAAGACATTATCTCGCATTACATATTTGTAACTGTTAACACTGTTGACACACATTAGATGTGAAATTGCTGTAATCAAATATGTTGCCGAACTTTATAGCGTTTGTGCGAAAGGTTATGGTTCAGAAAAGTCTAATTTGAAACGAAAGAATATAAATTTAATGATGTATGGTCTGTACTCACTTTAGCTCCGAGTTTGGTTGTTCCAGGCTTTGGTCGTTATGTTGAGTGTTGGCTTGCTCCTGCATGCCTCGCAATATTAGAGCCGAGTCGCGTTGTTCCGGTTCGGCGCGGCCTCGACGTAAACGCAACTTACGGGCTATTGGGTCTGACTTTACACCTATGCAGGAAAAATAACAAGAGTATGAGTGTTTGATGATAATTATATCGAAATCACTGTTATCATAATTTACAGTGTAGATAGTACTTCGAATAAAATTATAAATGCAAGGCAAGAATTACATTTATAGGCGTAAAAATAATTATTATTAGACAATTTTGAGAATATCTTGGGAGAGCCATGCTTCGTTACAAATGGGTCATCTCGACCGGATCGATACCTCGGTCTCACAGAAAACTGGTGTTCAGTAATTCAACGAGTGAGTGATGTTGCCGAAGCACAAACCCCTCATATCCCTCATTCTTGGGGTAGGACTCAAAGTGACTCTTTAGTTGCAGGTATCCATGGGCGGCGGTAGTCACTTACCATTGTGCTCTTATATAAAAAAAACAACAGTGGCACTCCGGGAGTGCCGACAGAAGTGAAAACTTGAAAGTTTTCGATTATTACCTTTCTTGTTTTATTATTAGGATCTTTTTTTGTTTTGTTTTTCGTTTCGATAAGTTCCGACGTAATATATATCTATGTTGTACGTATATACACAATATATGTTTATACTGTTTATAGTTATATTATCAATGTATTTCAACCCAATTCAACTTTCGTGTAAACGGGGCCAATATATGTAGGTATACAGAGGTGTCGGTAACGGCAACAGTGTTACGAGTTCAATGGTTTTTTCCCATCTCAAAAAATACTTTCTTTTGTTTGTTGTTCAAAAATGCCCAAAGCTAATAAGTGCCCAACGTAAATAAGTTTACACTTCAAAAAAATCAAGTTTTAAATTAAAGAAATCCAATTACTCACTTGGCGTGGTTGGTTCATTAGTAGCAGCTCCGGCTAGTTGCAGTTGAGCTTGTAGTGAGAAATCAATGTTATAGTATTGCACACCGGCGCCTCTAGGCCTCTCCACAGGTTTCGGCGGCATAACCAGGTCAGGATTACCATGAAGCTGAAGGCTTTCTAGGTCACTCATTAGGTGGATGGCATCCGGTAGTGTAATCAGTTTATTGCAGCTAAGGTTTAGTTTCTTTAACGAACCACATCTAGAAAATAATAATTATCTATTGGAGCTCTATAAAGACTTACCTATTATTATTTATTATTAACTATTTGGAGCTTATAAAGGGTTACCTATTACGTAGATTTTTTTTTGTAAAGTTTTTGTGATAGCTTTAAAAAAATGTTTTATAATCTATAAATAGTTACTTTAGGTTACTGTAGACTACTAAATGAATTGGTAATGCTAACAGAGAAATGTCACTACACTATCAGAGAAAATAACTTTTACCATTCATTCATACCATTTCAAAATCATCTATACTATCCACAAACGAATAACCAAACAAATCAAAGTTTAAAGAAATAAACAATGAAAAATAAAACTATCTTTATTACATTATTATATTAGTGTGGTAGACTGATGATAAATCAACGTACTTTTATATACACAAATTTATTTATAATCAATTTTTAAATATTAAAAAAGAAAAAACACATATTGATTTATTTGGTATTTATTTACAAACATCGACTTTGACGAAGTTACGAACTAAACCTGCTTTTCTAACCTAAATAGAACTTATTTAGGGGCAAATTAATTCTACTTTCAATAAATAAGACAGTGAATAAAACGTTTTTTGTATCTGGAACAGACACACAAACGAGAATAGTATGTATATAATTTTTTATTGTCCTGGTTTATTTGCACATTGAAAAAAACATTTCGTTATATTTAATTATACAATTATTCTACAATCTAGTCAGATCGAGTGCACACATAAACTTGACAGGCGGCCACATGACAGTTTCGTTCCAAAAAGTCTATGGATGTCAAGGTTGTGCTATTTACTGTATGGCTAAATTAGTTATTCGGTTGTAAAATTATATTTAAAATCTATTTTTGTTTAACAACTGCATGATAAAAATGAATGTAGTTCAGGAGTGTCTGGAGATATTCCAAAATTCATGTCAACCTATTTTAGACTGTTTAGGTTATTGTGACATTATTTACTGACATTCTTATTAGATGGATAAACAAAATGAAAATAAATAGATAGATAAAAATAAAAAAGTGTGTGGGCATGCCTTTTTCAACAGTTTTTAATACAAATTTTATCAACAAGAACTGATTTTCTTTTTTAAAATACAACTGCCGCACTTGGATTATATCCTGTATCACGAGGGACTTTACAAACAGTCATGAAACAGGCTTAAAAACACCCAGCCTCAGAATGACAATTTGTGGATCGCCCACAACACAGCGCAGTAGAAGGCGGCGAGGTGGCTCCTAAATCACTACGTCAAATGGTGTTTTAATATGTAAAAAGAGTACTTAAAACATAAACGGTACCTGCAAAGTCCTTCAGGTATCATTTCTAGAACATTATTGGCAGCAGAGAACACTTCAAGACTCCCAAGCTTCCCGATACCCGATGGTATCCCTTCAAAGTCTAATTTATTGTCGTCTACGTGTAGTCGTCTCAGGTTCTGTAGCTTGCACATTGAAGCTGGTAGAGCAGTTAGGTTGTTTCGAGATAAGTTTAAGCTCTCTAGCTTCTGCCAGTTGTCCATCGCTGCAAAAGATATGCTGCTATAGTCGTTGATACATTTAACAGTAGAAAAAACCAGTAGGCATGTCAGACAAAACTTAGTTCCTAATCAAAGCAGGATCTTACGCAGTTGGTTTTTAATTTTTCAACTTATTTTTTGTATGTAATAACTTACCTTGATTTGTGGGCTCAAGGTGAGTACAAGATTGTACTAGGCTTTCAAATGGTTTAAAAAAATGTAACTTTGTTAAAACGAATCAAATGGAATTCTTGATATTAACTGCCCTAGTTCATTAGTAAAAGATCAGTTACATGTAAATGTAGTGTTGAGGTCGAGTTGTGGACGTGGATGGACAGATGTTCAAGAGCGTAACATAAAAGATTACATTACACTATCAGGTGTCTATGTTTATATTTTAAATATAAAGTAGACGAATAGTTGGAAGAGAAATGCCTATTCTAGTGATAGGTGTTTTTCTTACAACTTTCACTTTCCATCAGGTGACCCATCTGCTCGGTTGCTCGCTTTTCCATAGTAAAAAAACTCATCCAAGTGTAATGTGAGCATAACGACAAAGATAGTAAATGCCTAACCTAAAAATGATTCGGTCTACTCTTAAATGTTTCAGAATTATAATAATCCGGCAAAAATAAAAGTAACACGTAGTTTTTTTTTCCAACTGCAAAACAGAGATCATTGCCTTGGTGAGGCAAGTAACTTTTTTAATAAGAGGAATTCAGGATTCAAATACTTCGTACTTTACTTGAATGTAACAAAAAATATTATATTATCGTATGTTGAATTTACTATTTTCCTACTAATATTCAAAACAAACATTTTAATAAAAACTTACTTCATCAGCTACAAGTAAAAAAGGAAAGTTAAGTTATAAATATTGAGACATGCAAACGCATCAGTGAAACACTAGCAACGTCGATTAAATCACGTAATTGATGATCAATCGCAAGCGCAATTAACATGCTTCCTAACGGTATAGTTATCAACTGATCGATGAAATGATAACAATAATGGGTAAAAAAAAATAAGCACGGAAAGTAATTTACTGTAAGTAGATTCGCAATATATACGTATATGGCTTTTTTTAAATATGATAATCTAGTTATGGAATAATTAACTGAGTTACTTGAGGCCCGACCTGTGTGTGCCTGACCTATGATCTGCCTTAGTCGTAGGGATGGAGATAGAAGAAGTCGTCTGATACGAGATTAGGATTTAGTTACCTACGTTTTAGTACCTAAAAGTAGTTTTAGTATCTGCGAACAAGCACACATTTCAACTACATATAAGCGATTAGCGGTGCCACTGAGATACAATTATGAAGCCAAACCTATTCTCTCCATTCGGGTTTGTCAACCCTAGTTACAACTCATTAGCAGAAACCAAAAGCTACGTTAGCAGTATACGATAAGACGATTCCATTCAGGCCACGATTTGACTTGAATCTTCTATGACCTACTTTCTCCGCTAGGTGCCTTTTTTTTCCGTGAAGAAATCCCCTCGGATACCACCTATCGGTGGCATGTCGGACTCGAACCGACTAAAACCGCACGCCGTCTCGGGTACTAATAGCCGGGGAACCAGGTATACCCTAGAAAGGAAGTCCCTGGTGTCCGCTAGGTGCCTCATGGCGTATTACCTACACGAATTTTAAAGTGAACTGTTAGAGGGGAAAACTGTTACGTGATGAAATAACTACGAGTATGTTGGTTAGTTTCTTAATACTTCAGAAAATAAACTATTTCAAGGGTCAGATAACATAGAAGACATAGAATTCTGTTCAAGCATGCTAAATAATTTATTCGTTCCGGCTAGTGTTTTAAGACGAGGTTGTGTATAAAAGTCTTACGACCATTTTGTTGCGAAGCAAAATCGCTTCGAGTTCTGTAGTTCGTTGTTGCAGCAACCAACCCTCATATTTACTAAATACTATCATCCGGCATTAATGTACTTTCAGACACCCGAGATATAGTGCAAGTACCCGCCTTTTTCCGTATCAAACATTTATTCAATATTTGGCTTGAATACATAGGAAAAAGGTTGATTATTAGTTTTAAAACTAAAATTTATTTGTAGCCTGTCTGATCTACGCCATCGTTATTGTATCTGAAGGCCAATTCTCGCAATAAAAATTCGGTCAAAATTCAGTTCCGATGAACTCTCGATACAAAGTATTTTCTTAGTAAAGTATTAAACATCCAACGTTGACTGTAATGTGTATTGTGACCGATTGTATCGTATTGTGACCGAAAATTAAATCAGATACCTGTTAGTCTTAGTAAAACTTTACTACGAAAATACTTTTAATGACAGTTGCGAGATCGAAAGTTGATCGGAACTCAATTATGACAGAATCTTTATTCCGAGAATTGGAATTCAGGAATACCTTTCTTGGCCATTTTACCACCTTTCTTCCATTATCGTCGTTGAACTAAGATTTATTAATAACTAGTTAATTTACTTAAATGAATAATATTGTAAGAATAGCGTAAAAATAACACAATCAGTCATCGGTGTTTACCTTTTTATATGCAAGTGGGTCATGAGCAAATCATTAATTCATAATTATGTAATAGAATTATTAACAATGCTTAACAATTTGTCAAAAAATTTTAGTCCAATGCGTGTGGTTTTGGGAAAAGGGACAGATGTGGGGACGGACACCGTCCCGAAGAAGTGTGCGATACTAGAGTTGGGTTGCATAAGTTGCATTGGGTGGGTTGGTGTCGTAGACAGCAGATATTACACAACATATATAAGGCTCGCTCATTTCAATGTTTATCTTTATAAATTCTCTATTGGTCTTAGTTAACATAATAATTTTAATAATCTTTATTATGTGAACACAATATTCTTATCATATTGGATTATGGCAAACAGTGGCGGATAATATTATTATGTACATACGTAAGTTAAACAGTGAAACACAAAATGTAAACTAATTTAAAATAAGACGACCATTAATGTATTGCAAACATAATAAAATAATATAGCCATAAATTTAGGGACATGATATCAAGATTATTGTTGTTCCAGTATAATCTGCTTTGCTTGGTCCAAGCATACAGTTTGTAAATCATGCCAAATTACATTATATTTTTAGAGGATTTTATAATTTACGTAACAGTAATTTCATACACAAAAAACAGAGGACCCGAAGGCTACGAAAATACCTGTTATGACATTTTTGAGATCGAGAGTAAATCGGAACTGAATTTTGACAGAATTTCATTACGAGAATTGGGCTTCAGAACTTTCTCAATCAGTATATAATTATCTATCATAAAATTGTTGATGAGTTATGAAGGATCCTCTACAGGCGCGGCGAATATTAATTGGGTTTCAACAATTTTAAGCAAAAGATAGCTCAAAAATATATTTTTAAGATTACATAAATTTACTGCTAAATAAAGTTTTTCACTATTACTCGTATATTATTTTTAGTTTCTAGCTCTAAAACTGAATACTACTAGTAATAATGACTTGAGCAAAATACAATAATGTGCTAGAAGTTTAAGGAAGGAATAAAGAAGAAACAGGATTTGTCAGGCTATAAGACAATATACATTTTACTTTGATTACTAGATGGGACTGTTCTATGTCGTGTTTAGCGTCTACATAATTATGCATGCCTTCAATTTCTCGCCTATTAACATAGCTCAAATGAAAAAAGTAACAACTTACCAGCAGATATTTCAGTGATTTCATTGTCGCTCAGGTTCAATCTCTTCAGACTGAGAAGCGAATACAGCGCGTCAGGCACTTTAGTTAGGGCATTCTTGGAAAGATCTACGTCACTCAGATTGGATAAAGTATCAAGAGACGACGGTAGATTCGCTAGTGTACGTTGAGTGTTACGCATGTGCAATGTTTCTAGACTTTGAAGAGAGGGTAGTTGCCTGTAAAATAAATTTATATGTAAAAACAAAATATTATTATTTAATATGTATTATGTATTGCTGAGTGTATATTTTTTAGTTTTATATAATGAAATAATAACTGGCCCTTTCTGGTATACAATTAAACCAGAACCACTTAAGAATACTGGACGCGAAACTCACTAAGACATGGAAGTCATGGCTCGAGCCAGCATAATCTGCAGATGTTGCTGACTCGAATAACTTAAAAAGGCCTTCGGCACTCTACAACCTCCCAAGACCAAAATGCATGTCTTGTCAAAATCAGTCTAGTTTTAAATCACACGATCTTGGTGGCCAACTGATCGGTCCATTTCTCGAAATTAACGACTCACCAAAATTTCCACGCAATAATTCCATGTTCACTCGAGTAATGTGAGGTGGTGCACCGTCTTATTGAAAATAAAGGTCGTCTGCATCAATATCATCAAATTCCGGAAAGAAATATTCAGTTAACATCGAGTTATTGCGCTCGCCATTCACAGTAACAGGGTTTCCTTCGTCACTTTCAAAGAAGTTTTGGACAATTTCCAAGCGTTGGTTTTAAGTGAAACGTGACATGATAAAATGGCAAACCTTACTGAACACAAATGTCAAGAGACGTCAAAGATCCATCATCAAACATGGCCGCTATGAGCTGTCAAAACCAGGTCATCCCTATTGGTAGACCCAGTACATTATTACAAATTTCGACAAATTGAACTAAGTATGTATATTTATCGTGAAAAGAAATGCAACACATGTACTCGCAAACCAGCAATATATTTTTTTGTGTTATGTTAGAGGGGGCGGACAAGCAGACGGGTCACCTGATGGAAAGTGACTATCGCCGCCCATGAACGTCTGCAACTCAGGAGTCACAAACACGTTGCCGGCCTTTTAGGAAGGAGTACACTCTTAGGATGCTCTTCTATTAGTATAATTTTGTGTATGGTGAGTAACATAAAACAACTGACTAAAATATGTTTCGTTTCATTAAAAGTGCACATTGTCATGTGCTGAGTACAACATAAAACAAGACTTACATATTGAGAGAAATCACATTAAGGACTTACCTCAATTGAAACACTCCCAGAGGATTATCATTGAGTATAAGAGTCTGGAGGTTTGCCAGCCTCCTTGTCTGAGGTGGAAGAGTCTCAAGCATGTTGTTAGAAAGATCCAGGAACAATAAATCTGTCAGTTGTACAAACAAGGAAGGTGGGATGCTCTCTATTCTGCAATATCATACATTTAATGTAAAATTTTAATTTAATTAAATAATAATCCGTTATTATTATAACAGCTGTTGCAGGCTGTTATCATGTACTTTTATCTACATGCACTGACTAGATCATAAGTACACAAAACATTGTGTACTTTTGATCTAGTCATTTATGGTCTTGGAAAAGTACACACTGAATGTTTTAATTAGAAGTAAGCTCTGATTTGACTTCTATTATTGCACTTGTACACTACTATAAAGACAGTTATCTACTCTTTAAATTTTTATTATTATATTATTATATGGTATTGTATGACAGTCTAAGGGAAATTTTAATAAACAGCCCAATGCCTAATCGTTCAATAGATACAGGTGATTAACTTTTTTACACTATATTTGGAATACATACTATATTTGGAAGAAATATGATTAGAAACTTACTTATTGTGGCTGAGATTTAAAACTAGTAATGATTTGGCTTTTTCTAGCCCTTCAGGTACTTCCTTCAGTCTATTATGAGACAAATCCAAGGTGGTGAGTTCTTCCAAACGGAACAGTTCCACAGGTATCCCTGAGCTTTTCACCTTATTGTGTCTCACATTTAGTGACCTTAGACATTTCAGTTCAGTCAATTCACCAAATAACTTCTCCAAGCCATTCTTCTTCAATGAAAGGTTTTCCTGTTTTAAAAAGATATTCATTTTATACATTACATTGTATACTCTTCTGTTAATATATTTAAAGCAATATTTAAAACAACAAAATTTAGGTGAAGTAGAAAAAATTTAAAATTACTTTTTAAAGTAATTCAAATGGACATTATGAGATAGTGAGATATACACCTTTGTGTTAAAGTACATTCATAAATAGTAACTTACTTCTACACTTAAGTTATTTACTAAAACATTTGTACTCTCAAATTATTAATAATAAAGATATATATCAAGATTTATAACTTTTGTGCTACTGTAAAATCATAAAGGTGTTGTAGAAAACTCAAGGAAATAACACAACATACAAGGGTTTAAGGAAAAGAAAATTTTGCTATTTAAATTCTATGGATATTTAATCTACTTAATTTATATTTCCATTTAATTTTTATATAATATAAGTAGTAAATGAACACCTTCAAGAAGAGTTCTTTATAATTTTTAGTTAAAATTTAAAAACTGAGTTCAACTATAAATATCCAAGAACTTGAAAAAAACATTAAAACTTTTGAGTTACAATTTGAAGATTGGTAAACAACTATAAATACCGAAAAACTCTTCATAAAAAAACATTAAAACTTTTTTATGATAAAAAAAATAGAAAATAACTACATGTTTGTATCGCTTCCACTTAGATAAGAGTAATTTGTTGTTAAAAACCTACTTACCAATTTCATAAGCTTCCCAAGTTCTTCAGGGATATCAGTCAGATTTGTCTTGTCTAGCCGGAGCCATTGAAGACCGGTCATGTATCGAATAGCATCGGGAAATTTTTCGTCCTACAACGTAAGAATATTTAGCCCGAAATAGGAAAGCAAAGGTTATGAGGTATGATATCATCAATCATCACTGATAGTATATAAGTGAAACAATTACATATTACTTACGCTGAAATCATTGCAGGTGAAGTCTACACCTCGAACAAATGGCAATAAACCCGTATTTGCCATGTTTACAACAAATTACTTATGAAAATACATTAGTTTCCTAAATAAAAAAAGTTGTCAACTGTCAGATATAGTGACATTAATGACATTTGTTGTCAGTATTTCTTCGAGTTTACTACAGTCTAACAACTTTAGTAGCTTAATCATTGGAATTTACTAAACTGTCCTACAAAGTCTACTATCAGAAAGATAAACAAACATGTTAATACATGGAACTGTGTCACTTAAAAGTTTTGAAATAAATTAAAAGAAGTTGGAGGTAGGGTTTGTTTTAAGCTTTCCTTCCCTTTGCAGTGTTGTTGTTTATGCAGTTTGTTCCCTTAGTCGGCTCCACAGAGTACAGTAATATCTAAGACACCCACCGGATCACAGATTAAGAGATATGTACATAGCATTAGTAAGAGATATATACATAGCAGATTAAGAGATATGCACCGGATGAATAGGGGTGGGACACTCCGTATTGTTAATCCGTCAACACACAGATAAATATTGACGGTTAAAAAAATTACATGAGTCGTGATTATAGATGTAAAACAGCCGATTTAAATCGTTTTAAATAAAATGTTGTCGTTTTAAACCCCAAAAAAATGTTTAAAATGGTTGAAAAGTCGCCTACAAAAATATAACTGTGTATTACATTTAATTATGGGCAATTTTTGGTCACCTGATGTCATGTATCATTTTAATTAGTTTATAGAAAATCAATAGAAAGTACCTTTGTATGTAGGTATACCTACCTATACCTATTTACTTGCACATGAGAGACAACGTGATGTCCTTAAGAGTGTCGCGAGTGACGACGTCAAGGTTTTAAATCGAATCCAATTGATTATTTATATTGTTTGAAAACAATGAAAAAAAAAATTTATTTACCAACACAGAGTTTTTAACTTATCAATAAAGTTTTTATAACTTAGCTAAGTAATACCTACGCTTATATCAAAATCAGTATATCACACATATTAAAAATCTTTACACAGTTTATAGGTACTCCGTCATATCCCTACGTCGGTAAAATCAAGAAAATGTAGTTATAATTAAGAAAAACATAGTCATCAACACCTTTTTAAATAAATAAAAATGGTTTATTTCGATTTTAAACGGATTGGTTTAATTGGTTTTAAACTGGCCTTACATCTGTAGCCGGGATCAGGGTGTATATTATTCTGTATATAAGAGAGGGCTATTTGCATAAATTATACTTTTATTAATGACGGGATCATGGCTAAGTGGCAACTAAGTAGGTTAGCATATTACAAAGTAAAGCAATCCTAGAAAGTCTATGGATGGATGACAATTTTTAACACGTTGAGACCGCTGCGTCCCTCGGACAGTTCGTATCTGTGGTATATGTATGCATTTTTAGGGTTCCGTACCTCAAAGGTAAAAAAGGGAACCCTTATAGTCTGTCAAGATTCATCTCGGTAACTCGTAGAGGTATCGAGTTAAAATTAAAAACATATAATATATACTCCGGTCTACAGTCCTTTGAAACTGTAAAAATTCTAAATTTCTAAAATAAATTCTAAATTAACGTAAAAAAATAGATACGCCAGTTTCTGCCACAAAAAATACATAATTTCACACTCTCAAGGGAATCAAAATTTATAGGGTATTGCCCGTTTCGCAAGTAACATCGTCTTATACTACAAGGACGAGAAAAATCTGAAAACTAGATTTGTAGGTAATCGAATCACAAAAAAATAGTCTATTTAAAATACGTAATCAATCATCGGGATACATTAAAGGTTTTGGAAACTGAATTTCGGAAAAGCTCGGCAAAAACTGCTGGACTCGATTCCTGAACTATTTATATTATGTACTTACAAATTCGTACGGAACTCGTTACATATTTGTACATTTTTATATCATTATTATTTAATTTTGTACTTCAAATTTTTGGAAGATTGTGGGCGTATTAGCTTGCCAAGCTATTCCCGTGAATTTATTTCTTGTTTTCAAGTTTAATAACATTACATTTCCTCCAACATGTAGACTAGCCATGAAGCTCAATTGAAATAATGCAGTGCCTTAACAAAGTTTATAATTTAATGTTCCCAAGAGAAAGTTTAACAGAAGGGTTAGGAATTTTATTTTTTTTATTTATTATTTCAATAAAATATGTTAAAATAAAAGATTTTCAATGGAATTCTGTATAAGACGTTTATATTGAAGGTGTTCTATGGCTAATTTTATCAAATGATAAAAACTGGTTTTGAACAGTATATTTTATTCTAATAACAAAGCATCACCTATAAAATGGTTTTTACAAATCAAACAACTATCTCACTAATAATCAACCAATTATTAAGTATATAATTATACTCAGTGATTGACGTACCTGTAACCTTCAAGAACGGGAAAACAGATGAGAAGAATAGACAAGGTATAGAGAAAATGCAACTTATTTTAATACAATTATAATAAGACTTTTTAAACAGTAATTTGATTATTTTGTCCATTCATGACTTAAATGCAATAGGGAATTTTTATATACAATCCAGTAACCAGAAATATATTAATTTTCCCATTACAAAATATTTCAAATCATGTTTAAAACAGTTACCTATATATTTTTAAACTAATAGACTAACATTAAAGCATTCAGGATGTAGAATATATCCATTTGTATATTGGAGTTTGACAAATAGGTTACAATTAATGTGCTTGGTAAATCTGATAACATTGAAATTATCGTGGCATTGGTGGCAGGGCAGGCGTTGGACCCGATAGTGCTGTATTGGTTCCTAGCAACACCTGGAATTATAAAAATGTTAATTTGTGGATTGAAATTAGAAATTCATTGTGTACATCTTTTCTTACACTGATGACCAATAAGATTTAAGACAGACAGACATGTAATTTTTCATTACGAAACTGATTTTTCCATGCCAAATTCAGTTTTATCGAGCCCATTGCATAAAAATACAACATTTACAAAAGCCAATGTGGATCAATTTATTTCCATACTCAGATAGTGTACAACTTGGGAAATTAATTCTGACGGTTTGCTGGTACTGATAGAAAATAGAGATATACTAGTAAAGTCCAAAAAAGCAAGCAAAGTTTGCAACTAGATACTACGGGGTTGTACGCTAATTCTTAACACCCCGGTCTTTCATTTGGTTTTTTTTTAAATTCTGATACTATCTTAGACTATTATACCTTGTTAGATAGTGGAGAATACGTGCATGTTTTTTTAACAAATCTGCAGTTTAACTGTCATAGATTTTTTTACAATATGTATGTTTTCTTTTTTTTTCTATTATTAACCCATCTACTTCTCAAACATTCTTTATTTTAATTAAAAATGATTTTTACTGAAAAAAAAAGACTGCTGTGTGCGTTTACCAAATCTACATACAGCTAATCTTAAGTGAATATCTAACCTGTTTCTGTTGACTCTTTTCCATTTCAGCCATTTGAGCCCTCTCTACTTCAAATATGACTGGAGCAAACAGGATCACAGAGGAACTCGCTACCACCCACATCACAGAGCGTGATAGTCCATACAGAGATTTGACACCGGACCTAAATATACATTTAACTATATAAATAAAACTTCAAGAAGTACAATCACTAACAACTTATTTATTATGTCACAGTAACTTTACAAATATATCTTGTCAAATCTATTACTTAATAGGGTCCTTTAATTTTCTTCCAATAATAATTTTATAGTTTTGATTCACATAATGTTATACCCTCATTATAAATTTGAATGATCCTATCTGGAATCTGGAATGGATAGACATGGGCATAAATATGAATAGCCGCATGCTAATGCACCTAAAATTCGCTGATGATATTGTAATATTAGAAAAACACCAGAAGATCTAAGCAAGATGATAAATGATCTAGCATCAGAAAGTGCAAACGCCATTTAAAGTTGAACCCAGAGAAAACAAAAATCATTCCCAATGGCAACAAAGATGCTGTAACAGCGGAACAGACTCAAATTGCCTTTGCTGACATATACATATACCTCGGTCAACTGATGTCTCCAGAAGGCAACAAAAACAACGAAGTGGAAAACAGTATTGTGAACTGCTGGAAAATATACTGGGGCCTAAAAGAAACAATGAAAGACATGAACCTACACATCTCAACAAAAAGCAAAATATTTTACACATGCATCAGTATGCATGTGTAAAATATTTTGCTTTCTGTTTTGGAGGACAACCGAAACATGGTCTTTAACAAAAAACATAGCAAAAATACTCTCTATATGCCAACATGCCATGCCAGGATCAAAAGAAAAGACAAAGTAAGGAATAGCAGCATCAGAAGCAAGACTTAGGTCCAAGACATAACGTTGAAAAGAAGGAGACAAAAGTGGAAATGGGCAGACCACATAATCAGAGGAAAAGATAAATGGAATAAAACAATCACACAATGTTAGTACCCAAGGGATAGAAAACGAAAGAGAGGTAGACCACAAAGTGATGGGAGGATGACATTAGACATAGAAAGGCCAGAATGAAGAAGATTGAAGAAGACCTTTGCCACCTGGCAAACGAACACACAAAAATGGAACAAAAGAATACTAGATGAATAGCAAAGGAATATAGTTGTGCTCAAATGAAGGCATATCATCATCATCATTACATTAGTAGTTTTTTTTAAGATACATGACAAGTCACCTCAGGGACAATGACTACCGCCGCCCAAAAACGATATTAGATGTTTCCTAACTTCCTTTTTTAAGACCCTTGGAATACCATCTTGTATAAATACATTATGTGCATCACTAGATAAACGAAAGAAAAAAAGAAAAAAATCACTACACTATAATAGATAACGTTTATAATAATTTCGAAACATAATATGAGGAGACATATAATTTCCATAGACATACCATGTATTTGAAGTAACCGAATAAGTGCAGCTTCGAACACATTCAGGGAACATTTCAGTCAGCCCCCATAACCTCTCTGACAAAGTCTCATCAGGTTCCTGAAATAATGTGAATTAATCAGGTCCAGACAAATATATGCCAATGATATGTTTGATATATATGCCGAAACAGAATACGATTATATTATGTTTTTAATAAGAAAAATTAACTCACATCATCATATTCTTTAAGGGGCCCAAGAGGAGTCCCGGCGCTCGGTGATGATCCTAACTGAAAACACCCAATTATTAATGTACACAGTCATTACTGTTGCGTCGTTCACTCCTTATCTAGTTACAATGTTACATACTGAAGGGAGTGAAGGGGTTATGAAATAATCCTCAGGTCTACGCTCTGGAGTATCATCTTTGCTAGCTGTCAAAGACTCCATACCGCTATCGCTCTGTTCCAGTTCATCAGTCAAATCCATAAGTATATAATAACACTGTGAACTCTTGATATACCTTTACGTTTATACTTATTTAGGATTATATATAACTTTTCGATAAAATCGTAACATGCACGCACAGGTCTTGCACACAAAGAGGTGATAGGTGTTGCCAAATAAAATTCATTAATAAGGTACAGCAAAAAGAATGTCAGCGATTAAAATTAAAATAAATTTTGTACGGGTTGTATAATATCTTACTTTTATTTAACTTTTTAAATTAAAATGTATTTTAGTTAACTGAAACAAAAATCAAAAAGACTAATAATAAGATAGTCATAGTTAGACCTAGTTTCCAAAATGGTTAGCGGTAATCATCATCATCATTAAAAAAAACATTTGGTTAACCTATGTAAGCGGTAAAAGGCAATTTTAATTTACAAAATTTTATTGATACAAAGAGTTTTTTTTAATGTACGCAGTAGAAGATCAATATTTAGGCTTACAGAGGTCTTTTCTCTGTTGGTTTTTTCAGCCCATACAATCGAGATCTCAAATTGAGAAATACTAAGTTTCAACGGTTTTGAATGTCGCTTTCTATAAGTCGCAATCTCGAGTTTTACCGAAATGTACATTATTCGCAAGTGCTTGTAACACCAATGCACACACCGCCTTTAAATAAGGCAAGACATCTTAAAATTTTTAATGGCATGAAGACTTGAAAGATAAAAAAATAGCTCAAATAACTTTATAAAAAAATTAATCTAAGTTACGGTTATTATGATTTTGGGTGAAACTAAACCTTCTATAGAAAAGTTTATCTTATGTCAGTTGAACCAAATAAACGAACTTTTTGAAAAATATCCCCTTCTCTGTCTAATATCGTTTAAAAACTTGAATTTCTAATTACGTTGAATTATTATTATACAATAGGAGTAATCTTGCATTTTACAAAAAAACTGATTTTGATCTTCTTCACTTCACGTTAAATCATTTCAATTTTTTTAAATACGCACTAGTGGGAGAAAACCCCCTTTCTAAGGAAAGACCTATGCTCAGCAGCATAGAGCAACACAGGACTATGTCGAGCAGCAATGGACTATATAATTAAAGGCTGTTGATGATGATTGAGGAAGTAGGTACTAACTTCATAGGTAATGGTGATAGAAAAATTCAACATTCTAATTTCAATGTTCATAAATTGCGAAAACAATGTATGAGGTTATTCATTTTGTACTTTTTTACTTTACGGTATATACCTACTACTTATTTTACTGACATACTTTTAATAACATGGTGGCTTGCGTTTCACATATTGTTTATTGGTGCACCTTTCATGGCAGCAGGCTTCATGTCGGAGAAATGATATATTTATCATTTTGACTTATTCGATAACCGAATGAAGCTCTAATGTGCATGATGTTCATGAATTCAGGGATTCTAGCTTCAAACGGGTCTTATAGTCATTTAGGAACGTAGTGGCAGTAGATTAAGATAGTGATTAATACTTGCTGTGGACGCCCTCCGCCCAATCCAGGGTACATAGGAAATTTAAGAAGAAGATAGTTTAGACATTTTTTTCATCATCATCATCAGCCTATTGCCATCGCTTACTAAACGGAGGCCTCTCCCGAGGAGTGCCACCCACCCCGGTATTAGGCAGTCTGCATCAATTGCTGCCAGTCATTTTCCTCAGTCGTCAGTCCATCGTGCCGCATGGCGCCCTACACTACGTTTGCATAATTGTGGTATCCACTCTAGCACATGTCGGCTCCAGCGGCCATCAGTGCCCACCTGGCGACATAACCGGCCCACTTCCACTTCAGTGCGATGTCGGTGAATCTAGTTCTCTGTCGAATAGTTGCGTTTTGAATTTTAAAGACTAGAAAACACCCAGCATCGCACGCTCCATCGCACGCAAACTTGTAGACTAGTCCAACGGTGAGGGTCCACGTCTCAGCTCCATATGTCATTACAGAAAAGACGCACTATGATCGAAGATATGACGAAGCTTCCCATATGCCGCCCAGGAAAGACGAATTCTATCGGCCTCCAGTTCAAAGTTGTGCCATCTGAGTTGGATAGTTTGGCTAAGATAGACGTAATCTTGCACAACCTCGATAGTAGCGCCATTTAAGGACACGGTGTTCGGGGATATATGCCTATTATACATGGTATTGGTCTTACCAATGTTCATCCCAAGTCTAACTCGTCTTGAAGAATCGTCCAGACTGTTGAGGATTTCTTTCAGATCATGCAGAGGTTCCGCTAAGATCACTATGTCGTTTACAAATCGCAAGTGTGAGATCGCAAACATCCGTTCCAATAAAGCGTCTTGAAGACGTCTTACAAAACATCGGTAAATAGTTTCGGAGAAATAACGACTCCTCTTGTACTTGGATCTTGTGCTCTGTTCTTGTACTTGGACGGTCATCATCGCGGCTTAATAACGACATCTAAGCACTTGGATATATCTGCACTCGACCAGGCATCTCTGAAGGACAGCCCAGGCTCCATGGTGTGAAGGCCTTTTCGTAGTCTACATACGCTAGGCAGAAAGGCTGGTTGTATTCTTCTGTCTCCTCAATTATTTGCCTTAATGTGTGTATGTAGACCACGGTGCTGAGTGCTTTTCGCAGCCCAGCCTGTTCCACAGGTTGGAATTCATGGAATTTATGGGCAATCATAATGGCCCTCTAAAACAACTTGTGCCTATGGCTCAAGAGTGATATGGGGCGGTTGTTGTTAAGTAGGCTTTTGTCTCCTTTTTTGAAAAACAGTACTACGACGCTCCTGCTCCCTACCTCCGGTGTAGTGCTGCTCCGGTGTATGAACAGTTTTGAAAGCTCCATTAACACAAGAGCTTTTAGGAGTTCTATTGTAATTAATTTGTTGTTACTAAGTTGTCCGAATCCGTTGTCCATTCTAATCTCGCCCAGATCGGTGTCAGGAAACTCGTCTGTGAGGTGGTCAGCCTTTTTATCACGATCAAGAGATATATCAAATTATCACGATTGGTGGATACCAATCACGGTCAAGATGAAAATATAATTTATAAAGAACTATTATACATCTATCCCATCACAATGTCTATCTTACAACATAACATTGCAGCTGATGCCACAAGGGTCAAGTCTCGAAAAGTTTCAAGGTATTGTGTTTTCCCTTCCTCCTTGGCATTTGCCTCAATAAAGGTGGGCCTGTCGTGATGTCTATTCATGAAATGCATGCCAGGGAACAGCACAGTAACTTCAATAGAATAGACCAGAATAGTAACAAACTAAAGCGGTGGTTGGGGTATTTACACACAGCCTGAGATTCGACCCTGACCTTTTTCATAGGCCAACTAGAACAACAATGTCTTTGAGTCAATAACGTGGAAGTTTATCAGTCTGTCAGTTTATTAATGATGTTTATTTCACCGATTTAAATATATCCTTAATTTAAAGATTTAAATATATATTATTACATATATAGTTCAAGTAGTTATAATTAAATATATATAGTTCTTTTTTATTTTCGATAGCTCACGTACAACGTACACGTACTCTCATGGTAAAAAAATGATGCAATTCAATCTGGGAATTGCTAATTGCTATACACTTCAAACACATGAATGTTCTGCGTATCAGTGTTTTGAAGTCTATTGATTCTTCATATTCATTAATTCTTCATTTTTTCATTCATTCAGCATTCAGCAGCAGATTCATTTAGCTCCTTTCAGCAAGTCTGTCGAAAGGATCTGCTAAAGGCATATGTTGATTTGCATAGGCCAATGCAGAAACTAGTAGACACAGTACATGCAAGGTATGTAGACTGTCGAAATGAGTAGGTGGAGTATGGTAGGTACACCATGTATGTGTATCATAAAACACAATGGAAAATACTTTGATTCATTATTATAAAATGTTAATAGTTTTCAAGCAATGTTATATGCAAAAAAAACTAAAAGAACGATCTTAATTTTCTCTCTAGATCTTATTATTACACATTTTGCATCCAATTCTTTGCGGGTTTAAATCTGAAATACTTAGTCGATGGTGTTATATGGCTAATACGAGCTGAAGTGGTCAGTGAGAATATGAAAATTTAGGTTTGTGAGTATAATTTAAAAAGGCACAATAATAACTTCATTGTTCCTCTGTTCATGCCCTTATTAAAAAAAGAATAACTTTTTTAGTAAATGTGTGAGTAACAAAATCACTAGATTTCATAAACGCTTTTCCTTACCCTCCCAGGTTAATATTAATAAATTAGTTTACGTTGATTGAAGTAAATAAAGCTAGTGTTAGCAAAAACCTGGTTTATAAACACTAAAGTCTTACCATTTCAATCTTACACTAACAATATTCACATTGGTTATCTACTTACTAGATAATTTTAGTATTAAATATCAAACATTACTTGGCAACTATTCGGCGAACTGCATCTACAAGGACTTTCTGTGGGCATTTCATAAAGCTTTAGTCGTAAAATTTCTCTCCGTGTTTTTATTTACATTTGACAATAATGGTAATGTCAATAGTAAACTGAAAAAAAGTTTTTACACTTGAAGACCTCATTAATTAAGTTCGAAATTCAAACATAGTTTTATGTAAAAGAAAACGCGGCTCTAGACTGGGTCTTGCAAAGTGCAATTTTAAAAATTCCTTGCCTTGCTTTATAGGTTTACGTTTCGTATGACTACTAAACTGTTAACATTCTTGTAATGAACCGTAAAAGATTTCTTGTATGTGTTGATAAATCTATCTCAAAAAATTTCCTTTCACCACCTTTATGATCTTTTATCTTTTTTTTCTTCTTGAACCTGACAATAATGTTGTACTGTCGATTAATACTTAAGTTAAGAACTTAGTAATTCTGATTGATAGTACTCTATCAAGAGGTTGATGCCCTATGATAAAGTACTATCAATTAGAATTCAATCATGTGAAGTTAATCGAAAAGTGTTTGTAACATCAGGCTCCCTGCAACTCGCAACTTTCTACCAACGGCCACTAAAATGTGCTGGCTGAAATTCTCCTTCTCAGTACTTTTTTTTT